TTTCCATCACTTACAGGGACTAAAATTTTCCAAAGATACTGTTTTCTATTGAAGGCTCTACCTTTTTACCAACTCTCCCAGTTTTCATCGTACCTCAAGTACCTATACCAAAGCACGACATCAATACTTATAATTCTTTGTGTAATTCAGTGTTCACTTAGAAATTTATAGGGATTCTGATATCGCTCCCCGCAAATGAATTGTCTTGTCCGTTGCCAAGAGTAGGCTAACCGGAAGCCTATTTGCAATGGATTGATAAGGGCCACAGATTTTTAAGTAGCATAATAATACTGGCTTTCGTCCGTCGAATTAAGTGAAATCATAAAATTTGGAAAGTAGATTAGATGATTTTCCGCCATCTGCAGTAGGCGCGTTCGGTCGCGGAGATGCACAGAGTATAACAGCTATTTAGTTGGTGGTACTCGACTTAAATAGTTTCATCATCGCCAGTTGATGAATCGCGTGGCGAAATTCGCCTTTATCCTGCGATGACAATTCAGGTTGGGGACTATGACGCACCTTATATTAATCACTTTCAGCAACTATCACATCATAATGACGACGTGTAGGAGCGGTTTTTAATTCGCAGAATAAAACACCGAAAAACATCCTTTTTCCATTTCCCGTGTCGGCCACGTTTGCAGATTCGCCCCCTAACGACTAATATGATAAACGGTCAGTAGTCTTTTTTTTGTGTATCTATAATGATGGTCTAGCATCAATGTGTCGCAAAAGTTTCGTTTAGCAGCGGCTAGGAATAAGATTAAGGTATTCTGGTAGACGGTTAGTGCAATGTACGGCTTCAGCGGTTTCCGCAGAGGCCTATGCAACTGCTAGTGCGTAATTCTAATAAGGGTAGGAGTCGGATGAGACAGATCAAATAATTAAAGCTTGGATTTTGCTGTAATGTTGCCTTCGCTTAGCTCCAATAAGACGAGAAGAGGATTCGCCGAAGTTTTATCCGGTATTTTTGTTGATAATAACTAATGGATTTCCTTTAAAACGGTAATGTCGAGGACGTTCAGATTTTCTTTTTGCCATGTGCATCTGCGCCACCACGCGAAGGTCACCTTGAACTGCTTATTTTTCAAGGTTCGAGTTTCTACCAGCCTGTTCCAAGGAGCATGTTTGAAATGAAGTGGCCGGGGAAAATGATGAGCAAGTTACTATGCTGATCGCTGTGGAAAGCGGGTTGCCACAAAGTTTGTAAGCAAAGATTGCACCAGTCGACTTCACGCAAAGCTGAGAATCATTCTTGGGAACTTTAAGGCTGACCTATCACAGTAGTTCTCTTGTTGTCATTGCTGCTAAAAAAGAGTTTTTGTGAATTAAAAGACTATCCCATGGCTGCATAAGATTTAGGGCGTGTGTGTCTTTTGCGCTTGTTGGCTGCTGATAGGGAACGCAATTCCGCGCGGGATGGGACTTTGCGGAACCGCGGGATTCTCGAGTCGATCCCATGGGATTAACAAAATTTACTCGTTTTGCTAGTATCTGTTCCAGCTTGTAATTAAAGGAATAAAAAATTAGCTTTTATTTTGCTCATTTGAAGTTCTCTTTATATTATGCGTACCTACAAGAGGAAAATTTTGGAAAGAGAAATTTTAGCTTAAAAAATCATATCCTACTTAGACTCTTTTTATTCCTTACGAGGCAACATATTGCAGAAAACCCCAAAAAAAAATTTAAAATTATTAATGAAAAGATAAAATTAACAAAAAATAGTAAGGTTAAATAACTTTTTTTTTTAGTGCTTAAAAGTTGATTCCGGAAATAGGATTTAAAAATAACTACTATGTATAGGGTGTCGCAATTCATACGACGCCTTAACTTCGTACAAAAGTTTTCTGCCGTTAAAAACGCTCGTTCTGCCTTGGTGCTTGATGGTGGAATTGTAATAAGGTATTGGCACACCATTTCTACCCTCGCTGGTAACCTTGCTCCAATAATATTATCACTCTCTTTAAGATTACATACAAAATTTTCGGATCGCTTTTAAATTCTGGTTTAGAAAGATTTTTGGCAATAGTCAAATCAAGCTGTCCTTGATCGATTTCTCCAATTGTGGAGTTTCGTTCCTTATTTTTCCTAGCTTCATACTCAGTAATCGGTTGAACGTTCGTCTTCAAAGGTTAAATGTCTAATAAAATTTTCTATTGTTTTCCGGGTAGTATATTGCGTTGGACAAGTAAAAGCCTTAGGTCCAACAGATTTTCTATCCAATGCTTTCGGATTATGAAGAAAAAGCAAGACCAGCGACAGTGCAGTTCTCCGTTTAATTATATTTTTTAATCGCTGTAGATAATTCACTGCTCAATTTACTCTTTTGTTGATCCAATTTTTTTACTAAAAATTCTAGCGTGGTTTCGGCTGTTAATAAATTCGCGTTTCGCCTGCCGAGAATCTCGACGACCTATTTGATAGGCTCAAGCGCTCTATGGATATTTTAGTGTATTTGCCATTCCGATTCACAATATTTCCGCAATCAATTCTAACAAGGCTAATGTAACACAGGTCCAGCTTTAAAAAATATTTCTGGCATATCGTGTAGACTACCTCATCTAGTTTAACAATCCAATTTTAAACTTAATTCTCTTCCAAACTGAACTTTTTCATTATTTTGCAAACAAATCTCTATTTTTCTAAAAAGATTTTCTGATCAACTTTACAACGTTACGGGCTTTGTTAATTATTTCTTTACAATCTTCTAATTCCATTAAAAAATTTCTTTTTTAACTTCGGTGAATGTTTCATCGTCCCAATCATCCGACGAAGAAGCCACCTTTTTGCTTTGAGTCTCAATTTCCATTTCTTCTTCCACTTCATCGTTTTCTTTTTTTTTTAATAAAATCTAGAATACTAACTGGAGGCTACAAAGACAGCAAAGCTGCTATTCTACAAAAAAGGCACAACATCAATTATATGAGCTAAGTAATTTTCTAAAAAAAAATAACAAATTTTAACTCAGCGACACCTATCACTGCATTTTACAGTTTCCCCATTCTTATCATTACACTAGCATTTACAAAACTCTACTATATCTTTTTCGAATGACATATTAAATTATTTTGATCGATTTTTTAAAATTTCGAAAATATTCTCGGCAGGCGTTTCCCCTTTCATCCTAGAGAATCCTAAGTTGTAAATATGATTCAAATTTTTAATATAGCGTTGAAAGTTTACATTTAAGTAGCGTCGGTTTCTTTTAGAGGTTCATTTGTCTAACGTTAAAAAAAAAATCTAAGGTAAAAAAGATGTTATAATTACAATTTAATTTAAAAAAAAGGGTAAAAATTGCCGATGACTTCGGTGATGCAGTGAAGGAATTTCCTCAATTATTCCATTTATTTTGACGGAATTTTTCCGTATTTCAATGCTATGCTTCCATTTAACAATAGCTTTCTTAATTCCTTCGAAGATTTAAATGAAAAACCATCTAATGCAACCATTCGCGATATCATCTCAGTGTTTTCGTTTATAAGATGGAAAATAAACCTCCAATTTTCCCTTTGGTTGAACGAGTGACGCGGCTCATCAAAATCGTCATCCGGATTACCAGGTTCGGTCCCTTTTTTTATACTACTGGACGGTGTTAACTCCTTTGTAATATTTAAAGAGATCTTTTAAACGGTTTTTTCAAATGGATAAGAAATTTTTTGGTTGATCTAGCACTCAATTTTTATTACTCCAGAACATTCTTTGCACTATGCAAAAAAAAATTCCAGGGGGAAGCCGGCCTGAAACCACTTGTTCAAAGTAAATACTTTCTCTTTTTTCACTCATCATAATAAAAAAAGAAACAAAGCATTCGAGTACGGATCATAAGTTTAATTGTAAGTCGAAAAATGACACAAGGCTGAGTTTATTTCGCAAAATAAGCTATTACTAAAAACATGTGACAATATACTGAACAGAACACGTTGGTGTAATAAGTCAGCAGCACGTCGTAAGAAAAAAACATTAAATCACGAATGAGAGGATCTTAAATTGTTTTGTTAGTATTTCAGCAAAAATGGAAAAGATTACAACTTTTTTCAATCCTGCAAAGCGCGGAATCCCGTTTGCATTCCCGAGCTGCTGATACTTCGACTGTATGGGTCTCCCCGTAATTAACTTCTGGGGGGAACGACTCTCTGCGCTTCTAGCATTTTTCCACGTATGACACAGCGTAGAGCAATCACGCTCGCGTGGTTTTGGCCCAACGATTATTTACATGACATATAATTGCAATGCATGGACAACAGATCCTTTTGTTCTTCAACAAATGTTCAAAAAGGGGGTCATTGCCGGCTTAGTGCGGTTCTTCCCAGCCTGCGATTTCTGAGGGAGTTTTCTCATCCCTCAGTGCCGTTATATTTCAATACTGACCATAAAAACTGTGTGTAGAGGATTTGATTAGCTTGTCCTCAGGCAGCAGGTGGCAGTGGTGCCTTAAACACGTGTTCCTAAGACTCGTGCTTGTTAGATTTCCCACCGCCAGAAAGTGGTCGCCCCACTCTAAGGGGTAGGAATTCATTGGCAAGTTATCAAAATCCTAGCTGTGCTTAACGACGCAATTTAATATATGTCAATCTGGTAGACTATTTTTTAGCCAGAAGAATGAACTTTGATTATTTGATAAATAAAATATTGAGATAAAACAGTAGAGCGCTGTACTGACGAATATTAAACTGTTTTTATGCTGTTTTTGGCTTTTTGTGCTAGAACAGCGCGCCCATGAAATGCAGGATAAAATAAAGTTTTATAAATTTGTTAAGAGAAACTTAGGTTATTTTGTTCTCCTTTTTCCCATCTATAACAATTTCTTATTCTATTTCAAACGTTTTAATAGAGAAAACATGCCGCACTTATATACCTTCCGATTCCCTTTTAAACAGTGAACTTTTAGCCAAAAGAACTTATAAATTTATTAAAAATTCGCCTATGCTTTTAGACTTTAATTCCACAGTAAATAGCAGGAACAAGTATTTGTGTACTGTTACTGTTAAAGAATTATTATTGAGTAATGTCTTTTTTATTGGAAACGTTTATGTTATTTTAGGCTTTATTACTGCTACTCCAAGGTATTTGTATTCACAGCACGCTTAGTAATTATATGCTTTATTAATCCAACTTGCTTATCACCTTAGATCTTATGAACCCCAGGGATATTTATGTGTTGAAGATGACACGGGTATAGCCCCTTTTATCTGCTTAACTTTTTACGAAGTAATTATACAGTTTACTTGGGTTCTTAAAAATTACTTGTGATTTTTATCATTTAATCGCGACAGACCCTTCCGAGTGGATTCTTTTTACTTTTTGTTTCAAATCGGGTTGCTTGCAAGAGCTGTAATGGCCTGAAGGGGCTCGATGTTACTCCCACGATCAAACCGGAGGACTCTCCCTCTACATATCTCGAAGTCTACAAAATTGTGCCGATACCTTTTTGTGACGTCCCTTTGCTTTTGTCAAACAATAGTGTGGGGGTCGATTTACAGGGACAGCTGGCAAGACTAACTGCTGTTTTAAAATTTGGGTTCATTTTTATTTTCATCAAACTACCAACTGTAGATTCTACCCTAACTTAACTTTAGTACAAAGTTAATATTTTTCGCTGAACTTCTTGAACATAACAAATTCTCTGTAACTATTGGTTTTTACGGCTCGGCTCTCTTGGTTTTTTCATAGTTTTTGCTCATCTTTTTACTTTGTATATAACTTCTAAGAATTAAGGCTTTAATCTTCAGGGTTTAGCTCATGGTAGCAGTGGAAACTGGTTGTAGTGTGCACTTTAATAAATTCATTAATAATTATTATACAATTTTTATTGTAGTTATTATTAAGTTTTCATATTTTATAGTTATTAATTTAACAGTTATTGTTATTTTCATGCTTATTATTATTTATATTTTTATATATATTATAATTATTTATTTTTTCAAATGTTATTATAGTTACTGTCATGTGTATTATTACAATTAGTACTAATTTTTTTTATATTTTATAATTAATTTTATAGTTACTATTTTTTTAATAAGGCTTATTTATCTTTTATATTTATTATTATGATTATTATTAATTTATTTACACATCAAGATTAATATTATATTCAAATGTTATTATTGTCATTGTCTTGCTTATTTTATTATTATTATTATTTGTTTTTATAATTAATATTTATTATATCTATAATTATATTTTTTAGATTTTTTATTTTTGTTAATGCCCGTTATTTATTATTATCTTTTTATCTACTTATATTATTATCGTTCAAAAATGCAATCGTTATTTATATTATTATTTATTATTTTTTTATCGGCTTGAGCCTCTACACTTTTACTTAGTTTTGGCTTCTTTGTATTTCTAGAAGTGGAGAATTTTGTTCAAACTTCGCCAGTTTTACAAAGTTACCTGTTTAAAGAGGAAGGTTTTGGTCAGTTCTAAGAAAGAAAAAATTTTAATGGCCACGTAAATATTTAATTTTTTCCTTAATTGCCATGTACGGTCTAGTAATTTATACATTTATTAGGGAGTGGACGGTAGTAAGGCGGTTGTGCTCGAAAGAATTAAGGAGCGCCGTCACCGAAGGCTCTGTAGACTCTTCTTTTAGTAATTTAACGCGTATGACTCTATCAGTGTGTACTGTGGCTCTTCCCTTCATTTGATCGTAACCATTTTCAGAATCGGAGCCTTTGCCCTCTAGACTCGTATATACCGGCGAGATTACGTTTATAGCTAATGACCTGGCATGCTGCTTATATATGCGTAACTTAAGCGACTTTGAATGCCGCATTTCCGTAGAGAATATGGGAACTCGACAGGAAGTTTTTGGTGTTTGCGCCTACAGACGTATTGTTATTATCTCGCTTTGCTTTTTGTTTCCTAATACATCAGCTTCTAAGCATTTATTAAGATGTTTCCTTTTCTGAACTTTGGTATTTTTTATGTTTAATAGAACTTTGTTGCGAGCTACGGTCTGGGGATTCGGGTTGGCAGCACGGTCAAGTTATACAATCTCCACCCGATGAAAGGTATGAGCTCCATCCTGCCTCTTTACCCCGTGCTTTAGTAGAGAAAGTTAATTGTAGGTTTTTCTACCGAAGCGGCCTTCTGCTTTTCTCTTTGTGCGTGGAGCTGCGTAGAAGTCGTATCTTGCTCGCCTGAAGATTGCTGTATGCGTTGTTAATTCTTTTTCCTGCGCAGAAGTTATGCTATTTCTCCTCAACAGCAGAATCGCACCCCATATGTTTAAGCGACCTACCACCCAAGGAGATGACCTTTTCTAGTTGCCTAGAGCGTTTCTGGTGCCTACAAATTTGCTGTGCGCTATCTCAGAAATTTGACAAGCTTACGGGCCTGAAGAGGCCGCAGTGCATTACGATAAGTTGCGCCTTTAGCTTAGTCTGTAACTTTGGGCTCAGCACCTCTTATTATTATTAGACTCATTTATTCGACTACCTTCCGATATAAGAAGGAAAGCTACTCGTTACGCAGAGCGAATCGTAAAGTCTTATGGTCTGCTTCCCTTTTAGACTTGTCCCCTTTGCTAAAGCGATTTTTCTCAGATCTCCCACTCTACCGCCGTAGAATACTCCACGAATTATTCGAGCACGAAATGGGTACTTCTTCTAAACATTTATTCTTTTTTACTTGTTATGCTATTTTTTTCTCTTTCATAAAGAATGTGATCTTGCTGTGCAGCGTGTGGCCCGTCAGTCTAACGTTGTTCTTATAAAAGACTTGCTGTGTCATCCTCTTGTCTTGCAGGCTGTAGCTCACTGCAGAAAAAGTACACATTATTAGTTTGCTAATTTTTAGGGCGTCAACAAGTTATTATGTAAAGAGGAGGGCAATTTTTATCAAGTGCTGAGCACTGACCTCGATGTACTCCTTGTGGGCATTTTGCACTGCGATCATACTTCTGGAAAACTTATTCTTCAGGATGCTAGCGGGTATGCTCCGTCCTTACTGCTTTTTTTAGCTCAGTAACTCCTGGCAGTTCGGTGGAAGTCTTTACCCCGACTCACACGTGGCATTTGAATAATATCTACTACTTTAAATACTTTACTGTTTACGTGGAGAGCCGTGGAGGGGCATTCGAGGCTCCTGACGTGTTTGTGTTGCTCAATTTTGAGTGGAAATCCGCCTTCTGTGTGGTAAGTTTTTTAGCGGCGTTTTGTACTGTTCTGTAACGTACTCTGCATAGGCACTTCGAAGGACTCGGGGCCTTATAACGTCTAAGGAAGTCGTTTGTTTAGTATGTTTCCCTCTTTCTTATTTAATTCGCAGCAACTCGCATATATTTTTTTATTTTTGCATAGTTTCTTGAAATGGTCAGTTTTCGTCGGCAGAGTTTCGCTCCTCACCGATCCTGTATTTTTATGTTGTTGTTGCTTAAATCCAACTTGATATAAATATGCATCTGCCCTGACTCAGGGGAGTTCCACGCGCAGGGCATGGGCTTTCCTCGTGATATCTTTGAGAATTCCGCCGTTTTAGAGGAGTAGTTTTCTTAGGGGGGCGTCTTACCTTCGCTCCTCCTTTACTATCTGAATAGTTATCCTCGAAGAATTTATATGGAATTCCGGGGAAAAGCTGCGAAGTGGCGACCGATTCTACACCTCGGTTTATTAATATTTTCTTGTGCTTTTCTTGTATCTTCTGTCAACTAACTAAACTAATTCATTTAAAAAAAAAGGGAGTTTTTACCGCTTAACAAATATCGTCATCCAGGATAAAAGCGATATTCTTAGTAAGATGGGCATATGCCGTTTTCGTATAAGCGTTGTCCATGAATATGTGAAATAGTTGTTATTGTCGATTCAGAAACAAGCGTATTGGAAGAGTTTATTGTTAGCAACGCTGAAAGTAAACAAGTTTCCACCTTTCCAGAACTCCCCAAGGTCAGGCACTTTGAAAAAAAAGTTAAGTATAGTATTACCTTGGACCGGTTGAAAGTGAACAACTAATGTACTTTTAGGGAAAACTATTACTGGAGCTCTTTGCACTAAAAAATCAATTTATGGAGCAGACATCCAATTATCTGAGAGTTGGAGACCTCTACAAGGGGGTTGGCTAGCCATTACTTATAAAAAAGGGCCGATTGGCTTTTCTTGTCGAACACTATTTTTTTAACTTTAGGGGTACACCAACGCGGTGGTTTCTTTTAAGGGTATGCCGTTTCATCATTCTAGCGCCTCGATCATCACTTATTAACATCACTCCTAGGCCGGATCTCCTCAAGAAGCCTGACTAGGGAATCTGCGCACGTGCACCCTTCTTCGGATAAACAGGTTTCCTTTCACGTGTTAATACCGCGAAGGTAATAAGTGCTTTTGATCTCAGGTCTTAGTATTGGGCGTCACTGATGACGAGGGCCTTGACGAGCTCCCAGTTTATATAGACTTGAGCAAAATTAAAGAGACTTATGGCCTCTATCCTGGTGCAACTGCCGTGAGTTCACATTTCTGCACGGGGCTTCGTAGCGCGATGAGTTTAACCGATTGCTACCAAATACAGGTCTTCAGAAACGTTATCGTTGTTTTGAGTCGCTTTCAGAATCTCTACTGCTGCGTTGAGCTCTGCTCTCAGGCACGTGGTTCTTTTTGTTGTCATAATGCAATAGCTGCTAACGAGATTCCTTCAGGTCGAAGTGGGATCGTGTGCCGAAGCGGCCACTGGTGGTACACTAATACCAGTTATTAGTTTGTGGCTTGCATTTCTCATTGTTACTTCGCTGTCCTGCTTGTCTAAGCCTTCTTCACTTCGTCGTTGCGAAAGATGAGGGGCGTTTTTCCGGGTCTTCTTTTTCTCTTTATCGAAGCTTTCTTTCCTTAACTGGGTTCTTATTTATAATGTAGATCCTGCGGCGCTTAAGAACCTTTCTACTACAAGAATTTATGATTTGCATGTTGCCGCTACTGGTGATACTTCAAAGCTACGCAGGCAAACGGTGTACCGCATTGCCTGTAGCGTCGAGCAAATTATCGCCCTGAATTTTTACTGGAGGTGCTCCACCTGTTCCACTGCGTTTACTGGGCAGAGTTGCAGGTGGTGAACGAGTGGTGGTCCCTTTTTCTTCCGGCTATGATTCATCCTTTAGCAGCGATCAATGCGAAGGAGGCGGACTGGTGACTTTTTCCAGGTTCACAATAGAGGACGGCTCCGGTGCGAGCACTCTTTACCTCGCATACACTCTAGCAACCGCCTTGGTTTTTTCTAATCCTTTTAACCTTTTTTAAAGGTGAAGCCACCGTTTACCTTGAAGAAACTCATGAAGTTCTCTATAATCTCTTACATCTAAATAACAACGAGTGTCTGGAAGTAGAAAAAGAATGTTCGCGACGAGGATCCATCTATTTCTCGATGTTCTCATTTTGGGTTTCGAGACTTTACTTTGTGAATGTTAAGTATATTTTTAGCTTTGAGAAGAGCTCTTGTCCAGCAGAAGGTACACTCTTACATAAAATTGTTTCCGATACGAGGAGGCATAAGCCGGTTATACTCTACTGCACTCTCTGCTTTAATAAGTACGGCTATTTCTATATTTAAAGGACGAGCTTTCCTTACTTGCTTGGTAGGAAGCCCTCAACTTTGGCAGATAAAGGCAGGGTAGCGCTTGGAAACCACAAACTTTATTTAAAAGGTATCCTTAATACATCTCATATAAATATGAAGAGTAATTTAAATTTGTAGGTTTAAAACTCAGGAGCTTAAACACCGTGAAGGAAGCCCACCGCTTATTGTCTTGCTTAAAAAAAAAAATTACTGTAAACAATACCGCAGCGACAACAGCTGAGGATGAATAGTAGTTTCAATGCTTTGACCCTCTTACGCGATCCTCTTACACTGGAACTACCACGTCACACACCTAAGTCTCTAACAATCTCTAGATCTACTAAAACTAAATTATTAGAAATGGAGATTTATTTATAAAAATATAGCTCGTAAAACTTATTTTAAGTAATCTTACTATTAAGTGATATTTCCCCCTTCAAACTTTCCCTTCCTTTGGCACGTACCTGAGCTCGCCACCCCCGAGAATAATTTTTTTGTTTTGCAACAAATCGAAAGGTAGCATTACTTCTGGGAAGATAGAAGAGTATTGCCCTACCACGTATAACTATTAAAGTGAAAGAAGACACATACGAAAAGGCGTAGAAAAGAACTAGACTGACTACTGAGAAGGGGAGCGAACACCAAACGATAAAAAGAGATAACACACCACTCGAGCTATTCAGTGAGTGTAAAGGTTTTACGCCTTAAAGGCTTTTTAAGTAAGTGAACAATATATGCAACTTAAAAGTTTTACTGATCTTAATAAAAGAGCACTGATAATAAAGTATCTTACTCAGAAAAAGCAGTATTTTAAACAGAAAACAGGGACTTTGGTTTAACTTAGTCTATTTTAACAAATAGTTTGAATTTGTATATAATATTTACTGGCACGAAAGAATTATAACACTGTCACCTGAAAAGCAAACTATATACTAATATCAATATATATTCTCTGAAAGTATCCAAGGCATAGCTAATCGGCTTATATCAGTATTTAGGTGCAATTCCGAATAATAAAACAATGGTATCCTTTTTCAAAATATTAGCAAATATATATGTTTTCTGGTGCGTGTTTTCTCCCGTAGAACTTTAGCTTTAAGATTAGAGCATAAAGTCTAAGAAATGAAGTATTTTTAACACAACGATAAAAACGAAACAGAAGTTGTTAATCAGTACTTCGAAAATTTCTAAACAAGGTGCACCCTAAAATCGAAATTACCAAATATTATTATACTAAAGTATACTCAAGATGGGGTTTTCCTTGCAAATATAAGAAAAAAGAAAATGAGGACTGCACTTAAACAGGTCCATGAACTTTTAACAGAAGATCCTTCTGGTTGTAAAATCTTCATATTGGCCTTTAAACAAGCGTTTGACAGGGCCGAATGAGACTCAAGTCCACTTACATGATTACTGGGTATACAACAAAATAAACATTTATACGCTTCAATAATAGTATAAGCTTTAAAAAATGTTGAAAAATATGAAAGTTGAGCTACTTTCCGCAGTCCTTCCGGTTTAAGGACATATAGTTAAACTATACTAAGCGATTTTAAACAAAGAAAGGAACACAAATTTTTCTTTTTGCTTAATGAAAAATGGACAGTTAGACAATAAAATTTAAGATAAAAACGTCTGCTAAGACTGACCTCCTAAAGTAGTATTAGGCGCTTATTTCACTCAGTCTATAGGGGTATCAGTGAATAATACCAAAACATTTTTCAACATGTTAGATCTTACCGTTAATACTAGCTTAATAACAAGTGACGGATAAAAGTATAACATTAGAACTAAGTTTAAACTATATGAATTAAAAAAAAAAAAAAATCCCGCCCAGCATGCACATAACGGGAAATGATCTAGACAACACTTTGATGTATATATAGCTAACAATAATGGAGTTTAGTGAAAGGAAATGAGGGGAAAATAAGAAAAAGAAGGGGAACAAACAACAACTGTAAACTCTTAGAAACTGGCGAAGAACATACGCAAACGTATTCACTGTTAATGACAACCAATCACAAGTAGACAAAAGTGACCATCCGGCAGAAAAAATAGAAGTACAGTAACATACAGACCTTTTTAGCATTGGAAACATTAACAACAAAACAACTCAGTCTAGCTCGCTAGATCTATTCGCACACCTGGACAATATGAGCACTTCCTCAAAAGTTTCACTGGTAAAGCCGCATTGTAACTATCGCTACTTAAAGTGGGAACACACTACAACTAGCAGTGAATTGTGCAACGATGGTATTTTATATTCTCCCTTTGCGAAACAGTTCTCTTTCCTTCTAAACCATTAATAATGCTCTTAAACTTGATTGCTCTTTCTAGAAGGACGAGTCCCCCAGTATTCTTCTATTAAAACTAGCAGGTCCTGTTACTGGCCAAAGACCAACTATGAGACCGAGCATAGAACTGCTTACTTAGCCTAGAAATTACATATAGCCAATGTTTTGACTATGATTAAATAATAGTTGATGTATCTTCCGCTTTATGAAATAAGTATAAAGCAGGTTAAGTTGGACTAGGTCTTTCATAGAATATTTAGTATTACGAATAAAAGTCCGTAGCTTAGCGAAGAATAATATATTAGCCGGTATTTTTAGAGGGGGTTTGTTACAAATAATGAGTGAAAAATGATTATATACTATTTATTAATTAATATACTAATAAAAATTAACTTTTAAAGTTTGCTACATTTCAAGAAAAACATTTCTTTGCGCTAACTTTATTCTCTCTTACACTTAAAATACTATATAATAAAGTATTCTCAACAGTAACAACTTGTTTACTGTTTGGCTGGTTTTGTAGACTTTCAGATCAACTAGTTTAATTATAAAAAAAAAAAACTATGGTCATTTCTTACATCTGCAGAAGTTCAAATTCGAAGTTATTTATTAGGTATTTGAAGGACGGTAGTGAGCCCTTTTACACATATTAGCACTACTTATTTTTATATTACAGGAAAGCTATAGTTCCAGGTCTTAACCTAAAAATGGTGTTACCGCGCATATACCTAAATCTCACTGTCCCTCTTTTTGGCCGCGCGGCCAATAGCACGTAGCTGGCATAAATGAACTTCAGGTATTTATACAGTCCATTATTGCAATATGCTTTTTTCAAATATTTTAGCAAAGCAATTAAAAGCGAGTTTAAATTTTCTTTTTTGATGTTTTTTAATATAGAAGTTTAAATGTTTGTTGAAAAGGTTATTGCAGAGGGTTTCAAATCTTATGCCGAAAGAACAGAAGTTTCAGGTTATCTTTTTGACTTTGCTATTCATAAGCACAACCTTATAAAAGTATTTTACCGGGTTCAAATGCCAATTCTTCATTTTTCTTCTATGATCAAAGGGTTTCATCCACATTTCAATGCAATTACTGGTTTAAACGGTAGTGGTAAATCCAATATATTGGACTCTATATGCTTTGTTTTAGGAATAACAAATCTCGCCCAGGTCTTTACTAATTTTTTATATAATGTTGTATTGCCTAGTTTTTTTATTAATACATATATTTTTTATAATTTATTGTTCACAGGTACGAGCAACCAAATTACAAGATTTGATTTATAAGCAAGGTCAAGCCTCTGTGACAAAAGCTAGTGTGACTGTTTGCTTTAATAACTCTGATAAAAGCCGTAGTCCTGTCGGCTATGAGAATCACGACAAAATTCAAGTTACCCGAATAGTAAGATCTGAATCTCAAGTTAGACTTTTTTTTGAGAGATATTATAGATCGAAGTGAATAAAGAAGGGAAGTACTTAATTAACGGTAAAATTGCTAAGCGACATGCCGTCTCGCAACTTTTCCACAGCGTGCAACTCAATGTTAATAACCCTCACTTTTTAATCATGCAGGGGAGGGTCACGAAGGTATCATTTTCGGCTTCGAAATCAAAATTGGAACTTTTATTAATCATTTATCAGGTTTTGACCATGAAACCGGTGGAGATTCTTTCAATGGTTGAGGAGGCGGCCGGCACGAAAATGTATGAAAACAACAAAAACGAAGCGTTAAAACAAATTGAAAAAAAAGAGGCGAAACTTGCGGAGATAAACTATGTGATGCCTATAAGCTTCTCGTATGATAATATTATAAACATCTTCCTTTTTTTGGTAAGCTGTTGCTTAACGAAATCGGTCCGGCTCTCAATAAACTTCGTTCTGAGCGCTCCAGTTATATTGCGTTTAAGAAGTTAGAGAAAGAGTATGAAATTCTTCAGCGTTTTGAAGTGGCCAAAGCTTACTTTTCAAAAGAGGTTTGCTATGCAAGTTTGCTTGGCTTTTTGCTATCATTAATCAGCTATATTAGCACTTCCTTGTGGGTTCCACTGACAAAAAAAGAGAACTGGAAAAAGTTCATGGGGAGCTTAGCGAAAAGAAAAGTAAGCTTGAGGAAAAACACGTCCTACTGCATTCCCGTCTGCGGCAGATCTCAGACCACTCTACTTCAGCAGTCTCTTTGTTTATTATTTTTTAAATTTTGTTCTACGCAGTAAACTCTATTTCATACGCTTTTCTAACTTATTTTATGACCAGGAGCAAGCCAATGACCTTCTTGCCCTAGAAAACGAAGTCAACCATCTTTCAAAGAGGTATATGAAGTATAAAACTAGCTGTGAAAACCTCACAGCAAGTATAAGAAAGGAAAACTCGCGTCAGCAGCAGTTGATCTCCGCAAAAGAAGAAGTAAACTTCTCTATATGTTAAATGGTTTATGTCTTTTATCCAAACTTACTTCATATCTATATTGTCGCTTGGCACTTGTAGATCAGCAGAGCTTTGGTGGAAAAACAGCGTGCGTTGATTAAGAGCGAGGGAAGCTTGGAAAACCAGCGGATCATATCGCACGAGTGCAGCATCGCCGCTAAGCGCCTGGAGAATAAGTTGGAATCTTTAAGGACGGGCGTCGTCGTGGGCGAGGCTGACCAGGCGTCTTTAAGCGATCAGCTTAATGGTGCTCTCTACCCGCTAGCTTTCTTATTTAAGTCCTTGACGCATGCTGCGAAAGAACACCAGCACGTACTGCAACAGACGGCTACAGAGAGGAAGCAGTTGTGTGTCCGGCTCAACAACATCAAAAGTATCAAAGGGATTTCAGATTTCGTTCTTTCTTTTATTACTCTGCTCTCTGTGGGTCTTTTAGAAACTCTCTTGCAGAAACAGGGCATTGCAGCAGAAGCAGAAAAAGAGCTTTCTTCCATTCGAGAGAGTCTGTTTCATATTGGCGCTTTATTAACTTATTATAAATTCGTTTGTTAGAAATATCATCCGCAGAAAAGGAGGTGAGACGTCTTGAATCTGAGCGCACGCGTTCAATCTCTAAAGAAGAGTTAGTAAAAAGGTTATTAGCTCTGCAGGTATTTACCTCTTTTTTTACTTGTCCTTCTCTGCAACATTTCTCTAACTGCAGCAGAAGAAAGAGGAGCGAGAAAGTGTAGTCTCACAACTTCAGGAATCACTTGACTCTTTGAGTACTCAGCTGGGCGCTCTGCACTTCACCTACACCCCTCCCAGCGCAACCTTCGATCACCTTTGTGTAAAAGGGATGGTGGCTCGTCTCATTCACGTCCCCAGCAGCACCTACTGCACCGGTAAGAGCAGCGGTCTCTCTTTGGGTCTTCTGGGTCCCTACCTTTTTTATTAAAGCGCTTGAGGTGGCGGCAGGGGGGCGGCTATACCACGTTGTGGTTGACACCCAGCATGCAGCGGCGCAGCTTCTAGCCAGGGTTATAGCTCTTGCGCTGCACTTTTTTTGTGCTTATTAGCATACTTTCTAGGGAAACCTGAAACGACGCGTTACTATTATCCCGTTGGATAAAATAGCTGTCAAAACAATTACTGATGACTCTCTAGAGAGAGCTAAACGCGTAATAATTATATTAATGCCACGTTTCTTTGGTTATTTACGCCATCTATTTTGTTTCCTAGGCGGGCGGCTCCCAGAACGTTGCAGCGGCTCTTTCCTTGATTGAATATGAGAAAAAGCTTAAAAAAGCCATGGAATTCGTCTTTGGCGGAACGGTGGTCTGTACAGACCAGGAGGCAGCTAGGCGTGTCACGTTTGCCAAAGTTTTGCTCGTTTTACTTCGTCCTTTACGCGTTTGTTGTATCATATGCTCTTTTCTTTATTAACTTATTGATTAAGAATGTTAATCTACGGTCGGTCACCCTCGAAGGGGATCTCTATGAGCCCACAGGTATCTAAGCTTTGTGTATCCAGTCATGTTGCGCCTCTTATATGCTAGGGACCCTCACTGGTGGCGCCAATCTTACAAAGACTCCCATTCTTCGATCGCTGCAAAAACTTACGCACGTAGAGAGAAACCTTGAAGACGCCTTGCGCGCGCTATCGTCTGTTAAGGCATCATTTATGACATCAACGTATACGTTACGGGCACTTAATAAAGTCTCCTTTGCATCTCTTAAGGAAGAGATTGCTGCCGTTAACCAAAAAGAGGTCGAACTTGAGCATATACAACAAGCATTAGCATTAAACGATCATGAGCTCAAGGTCATTAAGTGTATATTACGTAGTATTTGCGTTTGCTGTTAACTTTATGCTAAGTTGTTGCAAGAAACACTGGCTTGCAACCCCTTTCATCAGCAGCTGCAAGAGCTTGAATCTCTCAATAAAGAAGAAGCAATATTTGCTGAAAAAGTTCGTGTTTCTGTAGAAAAAGAAGAGGTTTTCTCTCAGCGTGCGCATTGTTTAAAACAACCCATTTTAAATATATTTGCAGGAAATTAAACGAAAATGTATAATATTAGAAGAAGAAATCAACAACTTTAAAACATCCAAAACCGACCACCTGAATTATTTGGAGGGACAGCTCTGCTCAGCGAGAGAAAAAGCGAAGGAAAACGTGGCGGTATTGAAGGTAAACCCTTTATCTGTTGTAATTCTAGCATAGCTCACACGTGGCCTCTTCTTCTGTATAGAAACTACAAAACAAGGTTGCTGAGACAAAGTTCGAAATTGAGGAAATGCTGAAGGAAGAGCAACTACTAGAGGAGCAAAGCAGGGTCATCGACTCTAATATTCAGACCCTATCACGTGATTTGGAGAACGCCCAGCAGAGCCTAGCAGACCTCGAGGTTTACTCCATCGACTTCCACCGTTTGTCTGCTGAGCACGTTTCTTATTTGTTTCAGAACAAGCACGGAAAGGCGAAAGAACGACTAAAAGAAGAAAAACAAAAGATGCATGCCACGTGCAGTGAGAAGACAAAACTTGAAGAGGACATTAGCCATCTGGAAAATTTGCTGTGCTCTTATTCTTCGTCAGTTCTTCCTTTGCTTTTCTTACAGTGCATCTAGCGCCGACTGCAAAGTTGAACTAAAAACTGCCATAAATAATAAGAATCGCCTCGACACTCAAATCCTTGAAACACGAGAAGAGTACTTGACCAAAACCTTCAACCTTCGGTTGTAAATTAACATCTTTGCAGGCTGAAAGCATTGGAGAGGAAGTACTCCTGGATCGTGGACGAAAGAAATAACTTTGGTATCCACGGTGGGCCGTACGACTTTGCGGTCTCTCCCCTTAGGCTTATTTAATCCCTTTCCTAATACTGTAATTTAGAACAGACGCTTTGACAATATTAGTAAACAATTAGAATCTTGCGAGAAAAAATTAAACGCGCTCAAGTACAACTTGAATTCCAAAGTAAAGCTCAAAGCGCATCGTTGTGCTTAAGGGCTATAGCGGGCTTTCCACTAGGTCATTACGCGGTTTGAGGAGGTCGAGGCCGAGAATAATGCCCTACTGAAAAAGAAGTCCATTGTCGAGAAAGACAGAGAGACCATCTACGAGTCCATAAAAGTATTGCGCAGCGTCTCTTTACCGTGTTATCCACCTGTTTTACTAATAAAGGATTTGGACGCCAAAAAAAACGAAACACTCGAGGAAACTTACAAGGAAGTTGACAAGCACTTCGGCTCCATATTTTCGACTCTTTTGCCAGGGACTCAGGTTCAGTCTGTAACGTGGAAAACTTAGAAATCGCCTAAACACTTTGTTCGCTACTTAGGCCAGGCTAGTTCCTGTGAGCGATAAACATTTGCTTGAGGGCCTGGAGGTGAAGGTAGCCTTCGGTAGCCAGTGGAAAGAGTCACTATCGGAGTTGAGCGGCGGACAGCGCTCCCTTGTGGCTCTTTCTCTGATTCTAGCTCTTTTGCGTTACAAACCGGCTCCCATGTACATTTTGGACGAAGTTGATTCGGCTTTAGATTTGTCACACACGCAAAACATCGGCAGGATGCTTAAAACTCATTTTAGTGACTCGCAGTTTATTGTTGTATCTTTAAAGGTTGTAAGCTTTCATGATAGTGAAGACTTTACTTTAATCGATGCCTTTTTTTTTTTCACAAGTAGGAAGGCATGTTTAACAATGCCAACGTCCTTTTTAAAACTGCTTTCGTTAACGGAATGTCCACGGTAACCCGCATTTGCAATTCCTCTTATCTACCCGAAGAAAGAACAAAAATAAATTTCTAAACATTTGGTACTCTGCCTATTATTATTCCCTTTCTAATAAAGTTTACGACAAAAGAGGCAGCTGAGACCTTTGCATTCCGATTGTGAGCCGTTTTTTTCTAGTATAGCCTTTTTGGAGCGTTGTAGGCTGTCTGCTGAAATCCGTTCCTTTTGCATTTCTTTATCGTTATATCCTTTGCGCTCCATACCTTATTAAAGTATTTACTTTTTTACTATAGTATTGCACTTTTGCGCGTTATTTATACTGTTCAGTGTGTAAAAGAATTATTGATAAATAAAGCCTTTCAAAACAAATATAATTTCAAAACGGCGAGTGCCTTTTAAATTTAAAGCTCTTATTGAGAGTAGGGGTTCAACTTTCGTCAAATATAATTTCTTGTTATTTTTGGGTAAAAGTTGATTCTTACTTCCGTGAAAGTCAGCGAAAAGTAATACGAAAATAGCGGTTAAACCAGAAGAACAAACTATTGTGCATATATAGAGTAAGTTATACAAGAACTCGAACACTTTATAAAAAGCATGAAGCAACAAATACAGTGAGCTCATTTATTTTTAACTTTGCTCACGGGAATACATCTTATAAACTTCTCAGGAGATCAAACAAGGAATGTATTTCTAGTTCTTTGCTTTAAGATTGCTAGTAAAGGTGCGTTAAAACGGCAGTATATACCCAACAGTAGAATATTAACGTTACAATTTGTACAAGTTTTAAGGGTTAATATGGGCGTTCTATCAAGCCTTCGCAAAGAAGTGTGTCAACCATATGCCCCTGTGTTTATGAGTCATGAGATGAAAAAAACTTTTTCACCAAACATAGTATAGAATACCGTTATTCGGCACCAATGAAATTGCTGAAAGGACCCTCCAGATCATTAAAAAAGCATTGACCAAAGAGTATTTAGAAAGAAAAATAGATCAGGAGTATATCTTCGACAAGTTTGCTTACTATTACAATAAAGTGCCTATTTTTTGCCACTGCCGTTAATGTTCTTGAAACCCCTATAATATTTTGATTTAGTTCAAGATAACGAGCAAAAAAATAACGTGGTTATCGAAGAAATCTACAAAAATAAGCTATGAAAATAAACATAGTTTATAGAAGGCTAAGAGATTAATAGGAAGCATATGATAATTCTCATGGATATAAAAACAAATTCAAAGAATCTTATGATAGAAATGTGAGGAAGGGAGTCGAAATAGGAATAGATGATACTTCATATTTCCAGAACGATATTTAAAGTTCCGGTGAAATTATGCTGGGACCAGTCGTAGTCGTAAAAGTTAATCCGAATTCGGGATGCTGTGAGTCCCCATCCTTGCAGAAATGTACACTGAGCCACTACTTTTAAGTTTATTAACTGAGTATTTTTACCTTAACATTCTTGCAATTATAGGCTTTCAGTTCCATATTCAAAATTTAACTGCTTTTTTTTTTATAAGTTGTGTATACAAAGGTTACATTGTCAATCATGATTGCTTTCGCTTAGAAAGTAAAGTTTAGAAAAGCTGATCATTGAGTATATTAAGGTTTGCGCCGCTATCAACGGTAACTTGGGACTTTAACCCTACATGGGGCAATTTTTTAGGTAGTGCAACTCCAACACCGTAAGAGATTTACCAAATCTAGAACTAGTACAGTAACATCCTTAAATTCGGCAGGAACCATACAGTCGGCAGTGTCCGCACACATGCCATTGGACCTTGCTCTTCTCAATATTTCTCTTTTTTCGTGTCTACTCTGGCGACCAATCCCAGCAGCAAGCAAAGTATTTACTTGTCAACCTGTATAGCCATTTTTCATTCCTTATCAAGGATCGCTATAACAGCGCCCTGATCAGGAGACTAAGATTCAAAGTATATGATATTAATGACTTGGAGTATTCGCCGGGTAGACCGCTAAAAAAGCAACAACTTGTCCTTGTTACGATAAAGCCCTATTTGGATAATGTAAAAATTTGTGACGCAATCATCCTCACTTCATTTGCGTATTATTGCTGTATACTTAGTATCAGTAGTAGCACTGGAAAGTTGTTGTCCTTGAAAAAAAACTTCGTCATACTTTAAGAGAAAGTAAAGGAGGTATTTAGCAATATCAAAGTGAAAGATGTCCAGAAAATAGTTGTCTTTAGAACTTACGATTTTTTCCGTTGTTAAATTAAGTATAGTGTATTCATCCTTAGCAAAAACTATCGATTTGGAAAGAAGCCATCTAGAGCCCGATTTTGGGGTTTTTTTTTAATCCAGGATCATTTAACGGAATTTTAAAGTCTAGAGATTTATAGTAACTTAATCCACGGGATCGAAATCCAAAAATTTTAATAGGCGACTTTTTTCATCCTTTTTTGGCACAATGTTTAATGTGGAGACCGCGTCTCGTAAAACTTCGCTCCAGAACACTTCTGGTTACTTGGACTGTTTCAGTATGCAACGTGTCATGCTACGTAACGCCTGACTGATTCTTTCACTCAGCTATATTGCAGTGTGTCCTTAGGTACTGTGGACAAGTAGTTCTTGGACAAGTTTATCATTAACGGAATCACTGCCCTTATCGGTTCTTATTTCCCTCAAATACAGCAGCTGCCGTAGTTCCATTTATTTTTAAATTTTTTATGTATTTATTGGGTCTTCTACCCCTTTGAATAATTAGATTTTTTTATTTTATGTTTAGACTTCGCAAAGATAGTGGTGACTCGTTTAGATCTAGCACCCTTGCGATTATAACATACTTGCGCCCCTCAATTGACGGTTTGTCCCATTATTGATTTTTAAAATGATATACCAGGAAAAATTCTTTTCAAATAAGGATAGCTAATACGCCCGTACTTGAAGTGTCCTCTAGGAAAAACGGACTTGGACTTCATGGTATCAGACATCGTGGTTGTTGCTGTATTATTGTAGCTATGACCGTTTATAAGAAATAAGCCATTTCCTTATCTACCTTGAGCAATAACTTTGTCTCTATTATTAATAAAAACTCTATTCTTTTTAAAACATATAATAAATCCTTTTCATTTAATTTACCTAAAAAGCTCAGGTTATGTTTGAAATTTTTCTCATAAATAGCTTTACCAATCTAAAATTAAAAATACCGGTTTGGTAAGTCTCAGTGCTATCATTATTGTATTAATAACGTGTTCATTACATCGGATATCAGTCAATAGCTCTCTTTCTTTGATCAAATGAGGATAGGCCCCAATGTCAACAACCATCTTTATCCCTGGGTTCGAATTTTTCGGAGTTATAATTCAAGTTGTGCTATTTCTTAGTAGGCCATGCCTTTTCAGTGTGGCTAATTATTTTATAAAATTTGCATTTTGCTTAAGGTATGGGAATTGAGATCTTAAAGTCGGCCTTAACAATCTTTACAGGATGGCGCTCGACCTTTAATGAATTTGGAAATCTGTTTTCCATGTAAGTTTATTGAATACGGGATGTATCTAGGGGTAAGGCATTCGGATCGTTTTCAACTTTATGCCTGTTTTCCGCTAGTAATAAGGCATTCAGTGCAAACTGTAATCCAAATTTTCTGGATTATTTTTGTAATATTGTTCCAGTGATATAGCGTCGTCTTTAAATTCTTTTCCGACCCTGTGGGTGAGAGCTTTGATTTTATGTAAGTTCGTAATTTCGCTATTATGAGGTAGCAGGCTTTTAATTGTGCACTGTTCTTCTATTAGACTAGAAAAGTGGTTTAAACGGTTGGCGAATTGTTGTATAGGGCTCGTCATCCCTCTTTTTTGCGTGACATATTTCATGTATTTTGCTTATGAATGTTACGGGTGGCTTCCTTTCAAAGGCATTTATATCTTTTGAATCGCTTGTTCTATAGCGGTCACTTGTAACTCTTCAATTCTTGACTTGATCTCAGGATGTAGACTGTTCATTATGGCTTGTATTCCAAAAACCGCTTTTTTTTATGTTTTTCTGAAGGATTGAGTTCATATTCTTTAGTTTTTTTTTTCCATGTTACATGTGGAGAGAATTGAGCTGGTATTACATAATTATAAACATACTATATATTGTCAGCGAGTAGTAAATGGTCAAGTTAGCGGTAAAACTTAAAAAAATAAATAAAAACATTGCAACCAAAATTAATAAGGAAAAACTACCTATATATGTAAAAAAGACATAATTCAGAATATTTATACGAAAACATAATATATAGAGTCAAAAATTGAAAGAAAAGATAAATAAGATCCATATAAACGTAGCTGAAGTTCCTGCCTTGTGGCGGCTAGGCGCTGATAACGTAATAGAATGAAACAATGATACAAAGAATAGGGGATGACCTAATTTAGGTTTGCATCGCTTTTATACATAAAATTTATAAAAATTTTGGGAAAATTTGATGATAGCTTTTCGTCTATTAGGAGAGTGCTCCGGGACACGACTAAGCAGTTGTCACCTATGGAAGATAAAGAAAACCGCATTTCACGACAAATTTTGGATAAAATGGCAGGGTCATGAGTATTAAGGGCGTTAAAAACTTTAGGGTATTTCTCGTTCACATTAGCCCCTAATGTCACATACTGCCTAAAACCTTTCAACATCCAGTAAGACTGACTTGCTGCTCTATTAATTAAAATTTTCTCGTAACATTTTTAACAATATGAAGGAGCTGAAGTATAGTGGAATAATTTTTTCTAGAATTCCAATTCTCTCCTGGCAATTAATAAAATTATTAAATTGTAGTATAAAAATGCTCTAAAATTTTCCCTACTAATGGACTACAGTCAACTATGCACTGGGAGGGCGATATGTTTTGGTAAAAAGTATGGCTGTTACGAACTCCCAAAAGTCAAGAAAGACCTAAAATCTCAGAGCTAAAATTATATAGTTTGCTATAAATTTATTATTGTTTACCGAATCTAGAATGATACAAGTCTGGTGTTAGAAATTTCATCCGGGCCAGAGCCCTTTTACTGCTAAGCTTATAATGATATCGTTAACATTATCGAGAAGTAAGGACGGTGAGTCAGTAGTTGTAGTAGGATTGCTTTGACACGCTTTCTCGTGGGGAGTTAAAGTTTTCTAAATAAATAGTTTTTATAAATATATATGGTTTTAAAAGGTTATCGTATATAAGACCATTATTTATCTTAAGGGGCGAGCCCTGTAGACCTTTGTTTTTTGCTAGCGTGGTTTGCTCTATAATTATAATCGCAACACCTAGAGCTTTACAACTTAAATATTGTAAAATATGAACACCTTTCTGTTTAGCTCGTAACTTAATTTATTCTAATTATTATGAATTAGGGCTTGTACTCAACAAGGGTCATATAAAAGTCTAGAACACCGGGATCGTGAAAGGTTGATAGAGCATAGTAAGCGGTAATAGAGTAGTCAAGAGAGAGAATTTGGAAGAATGCTATATCAAGCACATCGGGAGAGCCTCTCAGTGAGAGATAAGTAGGTGCAGGAGGATGACCATAAACAGCCTGGCCCCTTAGGCGAGTATAGCTTTTGAGGAACCGGCTATTAGCGTGGGAAGCTTGATATTCCAGAATAATGTTTCGCGTAGCGGTCGCTGGCCACAACCACAGATTTCGACATTTAAAATATGGTGCCTAGATCAGCTGTATTGATTTCATGGTATAAGGTTTACAAGCTAATATTATGTGTATTTTTCCCAGAGACCGGATGGATATATCAACATTTCCTTCAAGGTTAATCGTCAAGGAATAAAGATAAATTTTCTTTGAGACCGTTTTTTTATATTTACAACTGTGCCACAATCTTTTTTCTCAATACGATCGATACGATAAACATTGTTATTTGTAATGTTAATTTTCTGACATGGTTTAAGGTGAATTTCGACAATTAAAGTGGATCTATTTCTCTCTGAAAATGTCGAAGTTCACGTATGCGATAGTAGAGACTACTATTACCATTTAGAATATGATTGGTATAGACATGCAGAAGGTCATAATAAAAAGGTTGAGATAAGTTTTACGAAAATAGCATTTAAACTGGATAGTTGAACGACTAAAAAAAAAATTTGTTAGAATGCATCTTAAATTCCATGCTAGTATGCGATGCGGTATACGACGGATTCACGATTGCTTGTAAATAGTGTTAAAAGTAGAAATTTCGATTAGGATTATTTCGTATTTTATAAGAATGCCTTAAGTGTAATTAAAACAAAGAAAGTGTAAATTTAAGAGTAAATGCTCAGTAAAAAACTACATTACGCGAAGACACGGTTTATTTCCCCTCCCCCCTTCCCACTTATTAATTAAAAAAGCTTCCACACCGTCCTATCCTGGGAGAAATATAAAACTCTTAGGACCTTTTTGGAGAAGGAAAAAAAGTTAGCAAAAGGCGTCATAGACAAAAATGAAACTAGATTTAATAATAGTATATAAAAGAGACGGCAAAGCTTAATTGTATTATCCTTTAATAAAACTTTTTGTCCAGGTACTTTTACTATTTAATGGTATGGTTTAAAATTAGTCAGATGGTAGCAAAATCACAACACGTGTTCTTTAGTTTGTAAATTTTTTTAAAATATTTTCATTTTTTTTAATAAATTAAAGAGGACCAGTTATAAAAATTTTGTCTTCTATGCGATATTCACAAAGCTAAAAGATTAAGAACACAATAAAAATTAACCAGTCAGTCAGCCAGGCAACTCATATGCATGTGTATATAAAAAAAACAAATATAGTTGGTGTTCATCGCTGCCATGGTATCTTTATTGAAATTGGCCTGCATTTTTATAATATATTCCTACTATTCTTTTTACATATTAGGCAATTTTAGTATCAAATATTGGTGTTTTGTTGTTCCTTAATCCATAACTTTTTCGTGATAAACTATATTATAAACTTTTAAACGTTTTTACGATCTTTAATTGTGGACGCTTTCTATAATTATTGTACCTTAATTTATTTCTTAAGAAAGATACTGACTTTACGGAAGAGGCAGGGGGGGCATTTAGAGGTGTAGCTGCTGCTATAAAAGCTTCAGTTCCCGCTATAAGGGAAGGAACAAGGTCCCTCGTTATTATTATGTTATCAGTCTTATATTGAATTTTTATAAAAAATTTCATTATTTTTTGATATATAGCACATAGTTAATATATTTTTAAAGTATCTGTTGTTATTGTATTTACCACCGTTTCGGTATAATTTTGGTGTTTAAGATTTAATTTAAAGTTCCCTTTTTTCTATTTTGTTTACTTTTATTACAAAAGAACTTTTCAAAAAATGCGGTTTTTCATTTGTTTTATAAATAGTATTATTATGTTTTCTTGTTTTTATTATCGTTAACATTTTCTTTCTACTTTGGTACATACCTTTTCCATAATAAAAGAAAAACAAGATCCTCTCACGCGATCTGAGTATGGCTATGAGTCTCTAAAAACTTTTTCTTGTATTGTTTAGGATTAGGATTATACTCTAGCAAAATACATGGCGTTCATTACAATTACTTGCTTATTAAAGTAGATGAATAGCAATCTTAACTTGTTAATTATAGAGTTTTGGGCCAAATTCGCTTTTTGGCTTTTGCAAGTGAAGGTGGTGTGGCTGCTAAAAAACTTCTTCCGCGGTAACTTAGAAAGAAAATTCCAAACCTTTATTACTTATGCTTTGATTTTAAAGGCTTGTATATTTAGCATCTTGGGGACTTTCTGGAGCAGCGGTTGTCGGTTCTTTTTATTTTTACAACTTATTAGTTTAGCTACTGTTTTTTTATTTTTAAAATTTTCAAAGGTTAAAGACAGTATTTTGGGTAATTAAGTAGTCATCCGTTTATTGCAACGTTTTTAGAAAATTAATTATGAGTGTATTTAAGAGACAGTTTTTGCGCCTACATTCGTTAAATCTGACCGCTTGCAACTACTACTCCGTTCGGCTTACTTAGTTTAGCGACTTTCTAGGGCAGTATAATGCCCGCGGGTGTCTGTTGCGCTTCCTGCTGAGAAGCGTTCGATAAGCTCTGACTTGACACTGTTACTGTTTTTCAGTAATATATGTAATAATTTTACTGCTTTGTATGGCCGCTTTTATCTTTTTATTAAGAAGCTTTTTAACTTGATGGCTCGGCCGTCGCATGTCATACACAAGTTCTTGTGGCGGTGTGTGGGCTTCTGCGGTAGTCTGGGTTATTTCTTAGCTCACCCGTTGTACTATAGTTGACTACTTTAGATCTAGCGTTTGCTTTTGCATTAAATTATTATGCGACTTTTTTTGTTTGGCTATGTGATGATTGTGAGAGCTTTTCTCGTCTGTTATAGGTCAGGAATCCTTTTTCTTGCTATCACTTGAATAATAGTGTTTTAAAGGCCTTCTTTTACAACACAAGTTATATATTTTATGCTTTATTTTTTTACTGGTCAGTCACTGAGAAATTTAATAGAATTTTTTAGATGCCAATATAATAAGTAGACTCTAAATAAGCAGTACTTACTAACTTCCGATCTTTACTATATATACATGCAACAGCTGATATAGCAACGCGAACATGGGACTCTCCTAAGGTTTTTAAACGTTTTTCTTTTTTTTTTGTCTATGGTTAGCATTCTAAGCAGTCTTATGAAATATAGGAGTTGAGGGCGTCCGTCGCTACATATTTTGTCGCATTTCACATTCCAGCCTCATTGTTACTTCCGGCCATAATTATCCACAAAGTCGTCCACTTCACAGAAGGCGCTATCAAAAACTTCTCTTTATTTAAAGCGCTTCCCTCACGAGCAAAATCGTTAGTCTTTGCAACCTTATTGGTAGTAAATTCTTTTCACGCTTGCATCAGGTTACTCCCTGCAGGAGTTGCCTTATTCTCGATTGTGCCCGTTGTCCCCGCGGTGGATCATAGCGTGGAATATATTATGGAACCAACGTTAGGTATTTTCCTTTTAAGTTAGATATTATATTACTGCCATGAACATTGATATATACTTTGCTTGATAGGAAAATATCTAGGTCTGAAATTCTACGGCCATAAAATAGAAAAAATTATTAATAAAGAACTTTAAAGTTTTTAAAGTTTTTTAATTTGTAATTTTCCTTCATATCAGCTTCTATAGCACCAGATTTAGCATCTAAATATTTAAAAGGATTTGAATGTCGAGTGGATTAAGACCATACTTGACCATCAAGCGCTCATCCTCTTAATCCTTGACTCATTAAAGAGCGTGGTCGAGTTGGGACTGCACTTCACTAATTACTTACACTGATTTTAAGAAATCCGCTGGACTTGTTTATGATTCCCTACTCTGCAATCAGCGCAAACACATAGCCCTTGAAATGGATGAGTTAATGACTAGCACCTACCACACTACTTGTCAGCCAGTGTCAATAATAAGATTGACGGTTTTAGCACTGAATAGGAAAGTGCTTTACGGTTCAAAAAGCACGTTATGCTGGCGCCTTCTCCTATCTTTCAAAAAGGCGGGGGGCATACTATGGAACCATTGAAAAACAAATTTTTGCGAAGACTTTGGTGCTCTTGTTGTTTGGGAGGTAACGGTGCTGCTTGCAGAAAACAAGATGATCCTCCATGTGGTCTTTGGGTGCTTCGTCAAGTGTGGTAGCACTACAAGTACAGCAGAACGAGCTGCAACGACTGATACTGGACGTGCAGTACTTTATTAGTTATGAGAGCAAACCCGACGACCTGGGCATCTCCCAGCGCAGACTACCTCCGAAACACTATTGTTGTTATTTTGAATGTGTTTTAGCGCTTCAGGGCATTAGCTGATCACCGAATTAATATATGTTCTCGGGAAAGGGACGCATTAACACTATCAGTAGGTCGACGAGAAGAGCCTATTATGTCTCTATAGACAAATTAAGGACTCTACGTGATACATATCTGAGATTGGTGCATCTTTTACAATTAATTATTTTTTTTGCCTAGAATAATCTGTGAACGCCAGAGGGTATCGGGCATCGATAAAAGTTATTTTTAAAACAGAATATACAAGCAGGGTTGTGCGGAGACTTTAAGTTTTGTGTTGTGTTCACCTCTTTGATGGGAATTTAAGCTGCCATTTACCAACCAAGAACAGACCTATAGTGGTTGACGAGGATCTATATATTATTCTCCGCTTCCCTCATCCTCCAAGACATTCATGATGTTTTTCACAAGAGATAACAACTACGAACATCCCTCACTCCAGTGAAAGAGGAGAATACAAGGTAAACAGGAAATTCTAAAAAACTTAGTACTGACGCCAGTGAATATAAGTATATAAGCGTAGTAATAGTCCACTACCTCGTTATACCAGTGAGACCCCGCTCAATGTAGATTGCTATTATTTTAGTCTACAGGGTTGAAACACATAACTAACGTAGGTCATTCATATGATAGTTTGAAGAATGCTAATTAACTGCAAATTAGACAAAAGAAATAGTACACTAGTTAAAGGAAATAATTAAAAATAAATTTTATTTGTAACCACCAACTATAGCCGATCTCTCTTTGTACAAGGTCTCTTATACTGCTTAAATTAACTTTATTGCGGTGTTGCAGCAAACGACAAAAAGTTTAGGTTAATATAGTGCTCACAGGGGTATCTAGAGCATTCGAATCGTTGATAAGGTCTTCATAAGCAAATAACTGTATAACTTGTAACTAATTTGGGTGAGCTAAAAATATTATTAATTCTCCATGGCAGTACATTGAGTATATTAAAATAGATTTTAATGGTTAGGTTGCGATGTAAAATACATTCAGGAATCACTGCGTACCTAAGGTAGTTCTGGCTAGAGTTGCGTGTAACTTGAAACGGCCTAATAACGACCAAAGCGCACTAAGATTCCGCCACAGTGAGGTAAATCCTCTCGCCTGAAAAGTCCCGGGGCTAACCCACAGCTGGACTCCGTACAATCTCAGTCAGTACTAACCTACAATTACGTGTCAAATTATGACATTTCGTACATTCATGCGAGATATGAAAATAGCGCGAATATATATATAATACTAGCAAACAATATTCTTTAATACCTGCTGCTATAAATCTGCACTAAAGCGCCGATCTAGCAAGAAACTAAAACTAAGAGAACCTGTAATAGTTCATTTAGCATCCTCGGATCAAGACAAGAGTATTGTTTAAACATCACTCAATAGCTAGTTCTTGTTCTGGCAGTGTTTGTCTTTGCCACTAACCTTCAACCAAGAATAGTGGACTAACTAACTTAGCATGGCACTAAGCATGTCATCCACAAGGATTTCGCATGACCTTCCTAGGCAAATTAGATGGAAAACCGCTTCGGAAGGCAATGCTAATATTCAAAACGTTGACTTCAAAGTCCATGAGTCGGTCAATACAGCTCAAAGTTCCCGAAAACGTACCTGAATAATGAAGTTTCCATTCTTTAGAAGCTGAGCTATGGCTGAAACATTACAAATAACAAACTTGTCGTTAATGATCAAAAAGTTGCTCAAGTTAGCTGAAATCCCAAAGATATCAATGGAACGTCAGGGCTATATTTTGCCCGAATTATTCGGGCTTGAGATCTTTGTTCGAAATGGGTGCTGCATTAGCTCACAGTGGACCAATAACAAGTTGATGATTCGGAACGCTGTTTGGGGCTATTTGAGCCAAATGGAAAAGAAGTATCTTATGCGCTACTTGGATCCAACTCCAGAATTTAACAGCAGTCAGCTGAGTGGAAAGCATAGGGTGAAAACCGCTTAAAGCGATCAAAGACGAAACAGTCTGTAAGAAAATTTATGGCCTCCGTATTTTGCGATGCTTATTATATAATATTCATCGACTACCTTGAAAAAGAAAAAGTCGTTAATAGCGAATAGTATATAGTATTATGTTCAACTGAAGGAGGAACTTTGGAAAAAACGGTCCCACATAGCGAAAAAAAATATTTTTTCATCAAGACTCTACACCGTGTCACCAGTAGATGGTCACGATCTCAAATTTCCATGAACTGTAGTTCAATTTGCTTTCTCACCACTGTACTCTTTGGTTCTGGTCCCAGCGACCATTATCGAGATTTGGGTCAAACGATACAGTAATCGTAGAAACAAAGATCTCTTATTAAGGTAAAGACGAATAGTTCTCTAAAAAAGATGAAGAAATGATGGAAAAGCGTTCGACAGACCGTAACGCTCTTGATGGAGACTATGTTGAAATATAAGATTGAATTTCGCATAAGAAATCGTGTTTACTTATTAAGTCCCGGTACTTTTCAGGCGACGTGTTTGTTGTGAGATAGTGCTGAACCTTGTTCGATTTTGGGGAGGGTTTTTGTAAGTACATGTAAACGAATGGTGAACGAAAATGTGGTATCCAGTACACCTACAGAGACTCGAGGGTGTGTAGGTTTTAAAGGAGCTACGTCTAACACGTCGTTTAATTTTCCTACGGCTCTAATACCTTTTCTCTAAGATTATCGCAGCTACGATATAGGCAACAGAAACAACTCTTTTAAATCCTTTACACCCAGACAGTTCTTATGCTTATAAGAGGATTGAAAATTAATGAATAAGCATACTTAAGTTTAATGTATATATAGTTAATAATATATAATTAAAGGAGTGTCCTATGTCCCTTTTTATAAATATGGCTACACCTTTGCCAACTACCATTTCATTTCGGTTTCCGTTAAGTCGTGTAGTTCTGGACGCATTACCTCTTATCGATATGAAAACTAGTGTAGTAATAGCTTCCATTAGTAATTCTACACTTTGTTTAATAATGGTCTTATCAAAGTCAGCGAAGATTTGCGCAACTTAGTAGGCAGTCTCCTAAAAACTAAATAATATAAATGCTTCTGTCAGTAAAGTCCTATAATTGGTCAAACATCTTTCTCTCCTGCTTTCCAATGAACTGCATGTGTGAGGATATATAATTCTGCTGGGCTAAGACCTACAACAGTTAGAGCGTTAGGCTTTTTAGAAAATAATGGGCCCAAGGTTATCATAACGTGTAGATTATTTAAGACGAGAATTAGGCAGCGATATGTATTTGTTGTTAAAACTAGTAAACTCAGGAAATGCAAAATACCACACTAACGTGACTGTATTCAATTTGTAAAACAACACTAATAAATAAAGTGAACCTGAAATTTTTTTTTTATTTTGCTGTTTTTGCTTATCCATTTACTAACTATAAACCACTGACCAGTGGAAGCCCCGTTACTGGGGCACAAACAATTTAGCGTGTGGGTTAACACTCGACCTGCTTCTTAAGCCAGGGTTTGCCTCTGCCTTATGTTTTTTTACGTATAGCAGGTAGACAGTTATGAGCGTAGTATCTGAAGCGAAATCGATTTCTGTTTCAAAGCCAGTGGAAGAATTCTATTTTCTTAAGTTTTTTATTTTTAAAAGATTATTCTTAATAATTTTTATCCTGAAAATGCTTTAGTTGTGAAGAAATTTTAAAACTACAAGGAGATACCTTTAAACTTAGACGTCTTTTCTACGACTTGTTCGTAAATATTATTAAAGAAAATCTTCCAACTTCCTTTGCAATTGATATATTGGCTAATTATTTTTCTAAAATTGAAGAAGTACTAAAGGTTGAGATTACTTAAATTATAATTTAGGCTGCAATAAATAATTTTGACTTTCTGTTAAATGTTTATTTTTGAAGCACAAAATAGAAAATCTTATAGTGGACTTAATATGGAATTTTGAACTTGAAACTTGTAAGGGCCAACAATCTGAGAATAATCGCTCCGTTTTTGTTAATTTTACGAAGTCGCTTTTGGTCTTTTTTATTAACTTAATATTTAGAACTTTTGGTTCCGAATTTTACTTTTAACTTATGTAGAGTCACTCTATTATAAAGGCGGAACTGGTTAAAAGACGACTAGATCCTCACTTTCTATCAGAAGTATTATTTTTTAATCTACTGCTATTCTTTTACAAAAGTGATTTAGCAAATAAAGCTATATAAAAAGCAATTTACACTTGGTTCAAGAGGGCATTTAGTAAATATATTCTTTTAACCTCCTCACCTCTTATGTTAATGCTTCTATACAAGTAAATCGACTGGAAGAGCATAGCAAAAGGCTCTTTGACACGTTAGCAGTCACCACAAAAAGAAAGAAAGAATTCAAATTTTCACACACATATAAATACTTTTATATATATAACTTTTTTACTTTAGATCTCGTTGATCCGGTCTGTGGAATCATGGAATATTGCCTTTAGGCGAATTCGAACCAAACTCGTGTAGTTTTTTTATTTTCTGCAGCAACCCTTCATCCTTTCAGCATTGTAAACATTATATTTAAGTTATAAGCAGAAGAAGTTTAATCTTCTTAGAGAGGAGAGCGAAGGGTATTCCAAACTGGTGGTGTTACTTTCTCCCCTCGTTGTTGAGGACAACCAGAGTGCTGTTGAAGTCTTTTCTCAAATCAAGTCGCTTGTCGGTATCGCTCTCGCCGCCGTTTAGCGCTTTTCCTTTTCCTGTTTCTCACACCTCTTTTCTTCTGTGAAGGTTATTTTGACTTGGATCCCAATCGTGTTTTAGGAATCCTTTTGGAAGCCTTTGAAGTGCATATTTGCGAGGCGCTGGCAGGTCGGTTTTATTTTTCTTTAATAACTGGTTAAAGTAAACAAGCATTAGATGGAGCACAACAGCTTGAACGCAACTCAGTTTTCCATAACATTGTGCAATTTTTTACAACTCTCCTTCAGACCTTTGATTTTTCAGCGCAGTCCCTCTGTGCTTTGCTGGGATTTCGTTACAAAAGCTTCAAGGTACGTTGCGGGTGCTAACAGTCATACTTTACTGGTATATTCTTTTTCGATTTGCAGGAATCTGACGTTCCGGCGCCTCTTTCTTTTTCCTTGGTCTCTGCTTTTCTAATAACCCGCGGATTGGTCAAGTTAGAGGACGTGTTGCCCTATGTATATTCAGTGATTCTAATTTAAATAGTTTATAGCATAACTCGACCCATTTAGTTGCATCCCTCAGTGGATATAATGAGCGAAAAGGCCAATCTAATTTTTAAAACTGCCGATGCAGCTGCTAAAGATTTGTTGATGGTTAATTTGTCGCTGGTATGGACCGCTGTAAGTTTGGCAACCCCATCAGAACTTTCGATGTTGTTTGCTAGAACGACAACGAAGTTAGAGGCATTGAGCAGTTGAAAACGGAAGCGTTTTGTAGATACAAGTTGGAACTTTACAAAGACCTGGTCTCTAATTTTTTTTGTTTTTTTCCCACCATATATTTATTATGCTTTTACTTGAAGGTTTCTTATGGAGAAAAGAATCAAACTGTAGGTCTTTCGCTGGCACTCCTGAAAATCGGCAATTGGACTTTGTGCCGGAAACTTCTTATTTCTGTTCCGCGGGGACTAGCCTTTGCTTATCCTCCGCTCAGCAAGCTCCTGCAGGGCGCCGTGCACCGGGCCATACAGCCTTTATACGACTCGTACGCTGCTCTCATCCCTTTTTCTTTTCATGTGTTCCCTCCTTTCATTTACCATTTTAAGAATTCGACCTCTGGGTTCTTCCACGCCTCTCCGGCACGCTGGTCTTTGTTTTACATACCTTTCCCCCTAAATATGTGCTCATTGGGCGTCAGAGCTGCTCGAGTCCTTTCCCGAGATCGGCAGGGTGGCGACAGTCGATGGTTTATCTGACAAGGCTTCCATTTTTCCCGCTCGACCTCGTCGCCACGCCGTCTAACGGTATTCCAGGTCTTTCCTATGCTGAATGAGCTCGGCTGCTACTGCGACGATCCCGTTCTGATAGCTAAACTTTGTCGAATCGGGAAAGTCATTGTCGAGAAGGTTATTCACTATTATTCTTGCCTCTAACTATTTTATTTATTTTTGCGTTGATTATAGGGGCTGAGCGTAGACCCCACCTTGACCTCCTCTGCAACTCTGCAGGAATTCGTTGATGTAGTGTGTCTTTGTATTCTTCCGAGTCTCTCTGCTATGGAGAGCAACCCCGGTTTATTGGAGGAGTTATGGCAGGCCATCCGGAAACTGCCGTACCATTTGCGCTATCACATTTATGCCAGGTTCCTTCTGATTTGCAGGCTATTGGTTTTTTAAAGCCAACCAACAGGGTAGGTGGAAGCATCAGACCTACCAGCAGCAGCCAACCCTTGTGATCTGTAGGGCGTTCACCATCTTTTCCTCGAAACGCTGGATGAGGTTAAACCTTTCTGGCCGTTTCTAGTCGCACTTTTACCATGTAATAATCAGGCGCATTTCTTCCGATGATAAAAAAGTTAAAGACAGTGGAAGGAAGCTAGGAAAAATTGCCAACGGCAGTCCTCTTATCGTATTAAGCGATATCATCGCTAAAGTGGGTAATGTAGCTTTTTCTCATATATATATACTAATCTTCTTTATGAAGCTCAAACGGTACGATAACTTTGTTGTTCCGGTCGTCGAATGCACAAAGTTTTTGACGGCCCTTTCAAGGGATTCCATGCTATGTAAACATCCGTCGCGTGTTCCAAAAAGTCACGTATCCGATGGTTCCGCAGATTGTTTGATAGAAGCACTTACTGTCGAGGATTGTAGTGTTTACGTGGACTCTGGACAGGGTCAGGCCACCTGGCATAAATGTGACTGTCTTTCTTTTTAGACCCTCCACGATTTTCCTCCATTTTTGCTATTAATACAGCATTGTCAAATTTCATTGGTTTGTCTCTAAAAAAGTTTAAAGTTGATGGTTCCGGTATCCTACAGTTTATCGCCAAGCACCTCATGAATAACAACGTCGATCACCTTCTTATTCTTGAAGAACTGATTACCAAAATGGGAGGAATCGAAACCGAAAATGTTCAGGTTCTTTCCGAAAGTCAAGTTACTGCTATGGCTGGCGGTTCTTTGCTTAAACAAGAGGTTAACCCGTCACTGCACATGCCTCTTGTCCCAGACGACGTACCTTCAGTGCAGGAGTCCATCGTCAGTAGTAGGAACATGAGCAATTCAACGGAGCGTCTGAAAAACACTCTACTCAGCAACGGCATCGCCACGTCCCTGCTGTTGTCATTGGCTCAACAGCGCTCGCGGGTTTTGTATGTAGAAGATAAAACGCGCCTCGAGCACCGTAAAGTTCTCGGCTTCGTTTATGATACTGTATTTTTTTTTTATTAGACCTGTAATTTTGGTTTAACCCATAACTTTTTAAAGACGCACGACGTTTTGATGCAGCTCTGTAAATTTTATGCAGTTTCATTTGAAACTGACGCTCTAGAATTGCCATCTTTAGTCAGTGTATGCCCGCCTATGGTCGTTGTCTTCTCTTTTCGCGTTTATTCTTTGGTAGCTATTACAGGAGTACCACCTCGAACCCGAAGTCGCCTTCACTATAGTTCGACCAGCTCTTAGAAGAAGGCTACTGGAAAGGCAGAGCACTAATGCTGCCGTTACAAGGGCGCAGGAGCAGCAGGTTTCGGCTTTCATTGTATTCGCTCGACATGTTTCCTCATTATTTTATTAAGAACTTTGTTGAGGCTCTAGACGAAGTAGTTGAGATAATAGTTCCTGTTGCTGAAAAAATAATTGCGAGGTTTGGCGTGTTACTGTATTCCCCTTGCATTAGATAACTATATTTTGTACAGCGAAAAAGCATGGATTTGTATATCTCCCCGACTCTATGCTGTTTTCTGGATACTAGAGCACGCAGACTTGGAGCACGCCGCCCACCTATATGAAAAGAAGATACAAACCTACAAAGCGGAACTAGCGTCGCTGGATGATTCGGTACTTGTCTTATTGTTGCGGTCTTTTGAAGCTGGTTAAGCCTCTTCTTAATTATCAGGACACAAAGAGGAGAAAAGAAAAGGAAATATTGTTGAAAAACCTTGAAATCGAGGTCTTTCCCTCGTGTTTGTGCAGGATACTGTGACCTTATGCGTGAATAGAAAAACACTAGGCTGAAGCACTGCGAGAATGTGCACCATTACCTGAAACAAGCATGCACAGGCTGGTTTAAAAAAAGTACTTCTTCGCTAGTCGACCTGTATTCTGCCTACTGACAGCGAGTAGCCATTAAGGTTCCGGAGGCTAAGGAAGTGGCTTCGTACTTTCACATGCTTTGTATAGCGCCCAGAAAGCTGTATAGTGTTTCAGACGCTCTCTTTTGCCACTCATTTACAAAGTTGTTGCAATCCTTTAATACAAGCAACTATCCTGCACTTCTTCATTATGACTTGGTCTGCTTGTCCTCCTTTGCTATAATAGTTTTTTATGCTCATTCTTGAATCAAAAAGATATTTTACGAAGTGGTCAGTGTGCTGGATGCGGGCTCTCTGAACGAAGTTTACCGCTTCGGTATACCTTTTATCCCCCCGCTAATGGCTAGTGTTACACAACTCTTAAAGGTTACTATTTGTGTGCGCTGCTGGACCATTTGGAATCGTGGCACAGCGATAAAAGCATATATGAGAAGGTTTGAGTACGCTTTTAGCCTAGAATACTAAACGCTTTACTGTTCCGTGTCCATCAGGAGTACAGTGCGTGTTGGAATTCGGGAGACAGAAAAATCAGTGATACTCTTTTCCGCACTTATAACTACAGATGGCAGAAGCGACTAGGGATGGTCCGTGTTTCCGACTTTTTTAAGCAGTTTGATGGAACTATGTGTGCCTATGCCTTATTAGAAATGTCGCGCTGTATTCAAAACCCTCAACGACGTAAGCGTGCGGAACACTCTAATCTTACTAATGAGGGTAAGCATATTTGACTTATAAAAAGGGTTTAGTCGCCCATTCATTAGTTCTTACACCCGCTGTAGATTGTTAAGTTTTTCCCGAAAGTACAAGCCATTGGCGATGAACTGCTCGGGCACGTCAAGGCCTTTAAAGAACAGAACGAGAAGGAAGACTTGAAGACAGTCGCTACTAGGTAGAGGGCAGTCTTTTATCCGAATATCAGTTGTTGTACCTTTGACGTGATTCCCAGATATTACAACGTGCTCTGTAACGTCCAATATCGTCATGAGTGGTGCGAGGGCATCCCCGACTTACAGCCGAAGCCTTTAACACCAGCAGCTCCTCTTTCCAAGCAAAAACTGCCCGCCGCGCCCCCATCGACGGTGAGTGCCTCAAATAACTCTTTTAACGACACGAACGGCGGCCATGGAAAAGGCACGAGTAGTAGCCCTAACGATAACAGTGGGAGCGACGTTACCGCCAGTAGCTCCAACGCATATAACGATAGTGGCAATCCTCCCGACGTCCACCCCGGCCACGCCGGTACATCTGAATCTGTGAAGCAGTCAGTTGTCAAAGCTTCCCAGGCGCCGACGAGAGGTATCAATTCTCCCTACATTGCCTAATAGAATTAAGCTTCAGTGCTCTTCAAAAGATGTTGTTCCAAGCGAAGTCCGTTCTACTGAAGAAGCCAAAAAAGATGCAACAGGTTCCACTTTGCTTCGGTATAGTTATGAAGTCGCTTTAACTTTTTAAGTATTATAACTAGGCCTTTTTAGGAATCCATCCGCAACGCGGCCGTCAGCGAAGGAAAAATCTTTTTCCCCGCCTAGTCCTTCCGAGTCTCCAACGAGTTTATTAACCTACATTTTTTAACACGAGACTACTACTGATCATTTTTCTAAAGACTCCACTTTGGAAAAACACCCTGAAGAAAACGAAGTTCTTGGACGGCAAAGCAAGTAACTAATATATATATACATGAAAGCATTTTATGTTATGATATAAAAAATATTTTATTCTATCAGAAATCTAAAAAGAGAAAAACTCGAGAGTAAAAATAACACGCCTTCCGAAAAAATAGAGGTGGCTAAAGAGAGAGGAAGAGCACTTTCACGAGAGAAAATCGAGAGGTCTTGCAGAATGCACACACTTATAAGTAAAGGTAATAACTATAGTTAACAGAGTTGGAACGCCGTATAGAGAAAGTGAGCGATCCAGAGTTTTTGAAAGGGTACGTTGATGCTCGTATAACGTCATCATTCTATGGCATCCTCACGACTCTGACTTAATTTAAGATGAAGGGGGATCGCGAAGGAAATATTTATAACGAAGCGGAGTTATTCTCCAAAAGGCGGCACGATGGAGCCGACGAAGTTAAATACGGTAATGCTACTCTTTATCTCGGTGCAACCCGCATTACTAGCAGTTTTTTTTCGATATAAAAAAAGCTGGCCACAAACGCCACGGTCTTGCCAAGTTCCGAACGGGAAGCACTGAAAGAGTGACACTGGTAGAAAAAAGCACCGAGCCAAGGGTATACCGGATCGTTGACGATAGGACGCAGTCTTCTAAGGAGGGGTCTCTTCTTTATAGATTCGGGCTGCCCCGTTCCAAGTGCGCGCTGGAAGACACTCCTCGGGAACACACCGCACAGCACACGGGGGTAGAGACCTGAAGGAGAGAAAACGCTAAACAACCACAATCAAACTTTATTATGTGCTGCCTCCAGGGAATGAAGGCGAGGTTTAGCAAAAGATACCCCAAAAAATTTTTGCATCGTTCTAAATGTTCCTTGTAGCGCCCTGTTGCGAATAAATCCACCAAGTTTAGATAAGACACATGTTAACCAAAATAAATTACTAAGTCATCGGGCATTCGTTCAATACTGTACTTTCTTCTAACTATTGACATAATAGGTATTCCTGGTATTTTGCGGATGCGCCGCTTAAGCTCTAATTTACAAAAAAAAAGTGCAAGTCAAGCCAGCTATAAACCATAAACTTAGACGAATAAGAGAGTAAATCTTTACCTTTATCACAAGTTGCGACTATATAACACTTATGTTCCATAACTCTATTGACCAGGCAGTCATCAGCGTAGGTGCCCTTGTGTAGACAGCATAACCTTTCAAAGCGGGGATCCTTGGCTACCCTAAAAAATTAACACAAAAAATTACCTATGACGTACTTCTAACCTATAAGGCCGCTTACCTTAAAGCAACCCTGTATTTAGTACCCAGCTTTTCTAATTCCGCCAAAACGCAGCCCGTAATACAAGGTATACCTACGGGCAAAATTGAAATGACTATATATAACGAAAAGTTAAAATAAAAAAAACATTTTGCAAGTAGACAGTCCATCATAGCCGAAACTAACTCAAGTTTGTTTTGGATAGAGAAGTTAATAAAGTTGGTGTCCAGAAGTATCCTAAAAGGCGGGCCAAGTTGCGTGTTATAGTGAAAGAATAACCCCACAGGTTTTTCAATACTAATGTGAAAAAAAGATTCTAAACTTCAAAAAAAGTAAAAACAAACTCATAAACGTAAATTACTTTCTACAAATTTTGGGTCCTTTTTCCTTGGACATCGTCCGGTTGTGCAGAATCCTCATATCTTTAGGATGTAAAGTCCTTTTGACGGTGGCAAACCTTTTCCGACGCTTGACTTTAACCATCACCACTCCATTTAAAATAAGCAGGAGTTTTCTTTTATAATAAATTTAATTTAATAAGTGATGGATGGCAATTTTACAGTAGGGGCTAAAACCAAAAGCTATAACTTTTCAAGAGCACATGACCCCTTCTTAATAGAGCCAATAGTGTTGTGACACAAAAAATAGCTTTTAATTACACGGAACCTGCTTGGAACAGCGCCTGGTCGCAAATCTGCACGGCTACATCCTGGAGGCCTACGCCAAAGAACGCGGAGAAGAACCACAGCTGCCTACGCTTGTGGCTAGGTATTTGGGCATAAGGAACCTGCTCGATAACAGCACGCTAAAGGATACGACTATTAAGGTACTGGTTGAACTGTCACCGAATCGTTTGTCTTTCCTACTCGAATTAGGCGTTGATCAAAGACATTCTCCCGGTCTTATAGTATTATTGCAAAAAATTCATAACATTGTTCTAAAAGGTACTTATGCCGTTCCCGACACTATTGGAACTCTCGCTCAATTGAACAGTGCTTTCGTCAACTTAGAGCGTGGGGTGGCGAAGATCACATCAACATAACGACAACACTTAGGCGAGAGGTCATGGCCTTTCAACACGTCGAAGACAAACTGGTGCTAAACCGCCTTTATCGGCACATTATAAGAAAGCTGAGGGCTCACCTTAACAGCTAAGGAATAACAATTTGAAACAGGAGTTGGAGGCTGGTGACAACGGTCTCATCTACTAAAATTCGTCAAGCGAGTTAGAAATTGCGTTCAAACACCTCGGCCACACTTTTACCGAGAGCGATGAAGATCAAGCGAAACTTTCTGCTGATCACGCCGTCGAGGGTTCGCCGCTTACTTCCTAAAGTCAATAACTCGTCCCTTGTCGAGTTTTATTTTGGTCAAGATTAGGCGAAAGGTGTCCAGCTCTGATAATATTATTAACTGGTGTTACAACAATAGCCAAAGATGACTTTGGATCCATCTCTGCGGCCTCATCAACTAGTTGATGGCCTACATTTATCACCTCGTGCGATGGATTATTGCGGTAATCGTGTTATTGGTCAAAGACACCGTAACTGGAATCTGAGTCTCGCAAGTATCGACCCATCGGTCTTCTGCCGGCAGTTGGCAACGTAGCAGCAGTCCGTTGTGGGCGCCCGTGTAACTTTACCGAATTTCACTTAGGATTACAAATGGAACGCTCAACGAACCCAACAAAATTTTCGCCTAACTGAGCGGAATACCCGAATCTTGTACGACTTTTGACCGAGTTTGCCATGAAGGCCCGTCACGAAAGCTGCGCTCTTCGGCGAGACCGCTAAACCTTAGAGACGTACTCAAGTCGTGCATAGACGACAGGATCTTTAGCGTGCAAGTGGGCGCTGCACTATCGTTGCCTCGCCATCTTGCAGCTAGGGTCTCTCAAGGCTTTCTTTTATCACTCCTGCTACCGCACTAGACCGCGACATGCCTCTGATCAGCCAATCACACACGCGCAACTCCCTTTACTTCGATGAGGTTAATTCTTCGTCAAAGCCACTCAATTCGATTTCGCACTTGCTATCTGGTAACGTCACTGGGGCCTTCCTTTAACGCGGCAAGAAAATTTCGTGTTGTTCTTATATAAAATACCCTAGGGTTATTCTAATTTTTATTGGCGTTCTTACGTAAACTGGGTCATCGAAAAAGGTCAATGCGAAGACTAAATGCTATATCCTCTATTGTGCAGCGAAAGTAAGCTTCGTTGGGCAATATGAAAAGGTGGTATGTATTGTGCTTCGGCAGATCAAGACATATGCTTCTGCTGCCTGGGTCTATGACGTAGCCGCTAAAGCTTCGACCCCCCTTCAAGTGCGACAAAATTAACTGCTGCACCTTCTAACAAATGCGCCATGGTTTATAGCGCCTGTGTCGAAGATGTAGAAGGAATAAAAAGCGAAATAGATTGCACTTATTTACTTGATTTGAATAAATTTAGTTTTCGATTATATAAAGCATTAGCTCTCTGCTTTCTGATGAGATCGTTGTGTAATATTTTTACTGCTCCTGCAGTTTACTAAGAAATGCTAGGGTTACCATGGAAACTGAATTGTTCCGTTAGACGCTGTATAAATATTCCATTATAGGTATTGTTTAGTAGTCATAAAACTTATGAGCAAATAAAAATGCATATGATGGAGGCCTCTCTAAATTTCGCCGAGGAACTTATAGTCTTTTGGCAATCCTAATAATGACAAGTTGGTCACAAAAAACTTCTCCGTTTAATGTAAAGATTAAGTAGAGGTTAAAAGATAAAGAACTTATGAAAGGTATAAATACTATTGAATTTTAATTTGGGTAGGTAACTTATCAGGCTTAATGAATTACTTCAGGTGCCAGTCACCAATGATAATAGGAACAGAGAAAAATCACTAAAAATTTTAAGCAATAATATATAATAAATTTTTAAATGAGTTATAGCTTTTTACATGTGCGCCAAAGTTCTAACCATTAATATTAAAGCAACGGTTTTAATAATCCTAGCACTCTTCATGAATTACCTTTATTTGGTTAATTTTTTGATGACTTAAGAACATATTAAAAAGGAGGTACTGTAGGCTAAATATTTTCCCTTTTACAATAAGTATTACCAGGGGCTTTGTAAGAAGAAAGGTTATCCCTCTTCAAAATCTTGAATTTTAGGGGAAAATGTGCTGGCGTTCACCAAGATATTCATGTTATTGCTTAACCCTATATTTCGTGTAACCTCAGACACCTTAGAATACTAATGGGTTTACGCGTAATTCAGGCGCTTTCTATAATTGCCACTTAAATTTTTCACAGCTAAACTAGACCTACTACTAATTTTAAAGGGTTACAATTGATACAGTTTAATTCCGCGTAGGCCGCCATCATTAAATATTGTAACCATTAAAAATTAGTAGTGGGTTTAGTTTAGCTGTGAATAATTAACGTGGCAATTATAAAAAGTGCCCGGAATTACGCGTACCCTGTTAGTATTCTAAGGTTATAAGTAAAATAAAATACTTTATCAGTTTAAAATAAAATGCTAAGTTGTTTTTATTAGTACGCTAAACTTATACTACTGTCTTCCCCTATAAACAGTTAGTATTAGCAACCGTTAGCTCTTTATAATTATATTTTAATTACAAGTATTTCCTTTTTTCTAAGTAGGTTATTATGACTGTTCCTAAGGATGAAGTAGTGAACTAATTGAGGCTAGACTCCTATTCAGCATAGGCAACTGCTTAAAAAACATTCCCGGGATGTGAATGAAGTGATCGTCCGCAGCACGTGGTAAAGAATTAATGCTATTACAGCAAATGTTCCACTGGATAGAGCTGCTTTAAATTTTAACATCGACTGGCGCACGGAAAGGAAACCAAAACTATTTGGAAAATAAATAGAGATAGTATATACGTGATTACCCTAAAATGCTATATATATATATATAGCCACTTTAATAAAGGAAATAACGAGTTTTCTCGCTCTCTACTTGTGTTTTTTCGTTTGTTATTATTGTTGGGTTTTCGGGCCATTGGTCCTTATTGTAGTTAATAGTAATTGTTATAGGTTCTGGTCTACAAGGCTAGAATGTAAAAGGACGGTAATCATTTTTAGTAATTAATTGTTTAGAAATAGTTGTTATCATTTAGCTAATACAGAATATTTATAATAAATTAAAGCATTTTTTTACATAATATGGCCCGAGAACCAAACCTAAGACCTTCTGGAAACAAGTACCAGCACCGCCACTAGTTATTACTTTCCGTTTATTTCCCTTTATATTTTATATATAAAGGTATTCTTTGTGCTTGACTAGGTCTATAAACACCGAGCTCTCGAGTGAATGATAAGATACATATTAGATTAAGCTTTAATGTATTGTAATGACTTCTGCTGATTCGCAGTAAATCGAGAGTAAACCGCTCTCTTAAAAAAGGGATTAAGGGTAGCGGAAACAAATCGATCACGAGTCGCCATTCTGTCTGAGCCACCAACAGGAGGGGTGGCTCTGAGTACTGGACTCGAAGGCCTTTTACTCTTCATAAAGGTACCCTTGCTGGGAAGGTTATTTAAAGGAAAAAGAAATCGCAAGATCTCTTAAATCTGAGTTAAGCCAGAGTGTTTTTGTCCTAGATCCGTGCCCTTACACTCATAATACTACATTTTAATCATTTTTCTACTTTTTTGGTAGTAGTGTGAGCGAGAACTCTTTTTCTGCATGCACAGTACCAAATTTGGTAAATTTTTTGTAAGAATTTAAGAAACAAAATTAGTAGTATCGTACCTTTAAAGTGTACGCCCACCACCTCCTTTTCTTTTAAGTGTAGCAGTAGGTTAGTTTAATAAATCTGTTATATTTAATGCAAATAATATTAATGTTAAATAACTACAGACAACTTGAGGGGCTAAGCGAATGAAAACCCCTAGCTACCAATATGGCAAGCTAATCAAAGGTAACTCAAGGTGCAATAGAAACTTTAAAATTTAATACTTAATAACTCATATTAGACTCCACTCGTTCTTTCCCAGATATTGATGAGGTAACCTTTACAATTGACAAGATTAATAAAGTTACTGAATTTTAATAACTAAAATTTAAAAGCAAAAGCAAGCGAAAATAACCATTTATGCATATAATAGTTTTTACTGTTCTTAATATGAATACAAAGAAGACTAAGGCAGCACATGCACCACTGCTACCATCTTTTATCCTCTCTACCATTTTCTGTGCGGTTTGTTTGGTGTGCAATAGGGGTTCTATATTATGAAATATAATACTACAGTACTTTAAGGTGGTCGAGCTTCCTACACTATATCAATTTACAATATATACAACTTCTCGAGGTCTTGCCTGTACCAACAAATTTAATATTATTAATTTAAAGTTATAAAAAAAGAAGGATGCGACCTTAAAGCGCCTTAAACAGCAGAAACCATTTAAAAGTTATATAAAAAATATAGAGTGCAGTCAGAATTATAAAAAAGGACCTTTTACCACCCTTCTTATCCCCTAAATTATATTAAAAAAGTTTGCTTTGTACTGCGTATAATATATCTCTAGTCTCACCAACCTCAACGTTTCGTTTCATTTAACCCCTCTTTTTTCCCCTCTTACTACCATTAAAACAAGCTTTAAAAAAAGAAAACCTTCACCCCATTAATCTTCTTTTTACTACTTAGTAAAAAAGATGCAAGAACCCACTATTAAATAAGGAAATTGTTTTATACATTACTCACCACCGGTACTAACACTCAAGGAGCACGTAAAAAATTAAATTATGTTGCGAAATGTGGAGCTATTGTAAATAACTTATTATAGATTTGTATCTTTTCTCTTCGATATAGAACCTGGCGAGGATCTTTAAGAGTGGGGTAAATAGGAAATATATAGTCTTATTTTCAGAGAGACCGAAATATTTAGGACCAATAATATTAACTGTTGTATTGTCATTGGAAATTCTCATTTAATAAATGTTTTCTATAAAAAAGTTGTTTTTTTGTGCACATTCCTATCTGCATTTCTGATGTAGTAGCGTTTACTTATTAAAGCTATTTTTTTAATTTACTTGATTACAAAAACTGGTAAAGTCTTATATGCCCTACTAAGAGCAGAGGAGAGAATTATAAAATATTTATATCAAGTTATTATACTTTTTAATAACAAATAAGTAAAGTTAGCTCAAGGGCGCAAACATTAACTGTGCTATTAATAGAGTTTGCGATGTACCTCAACACATTTTGTTTTAAAAAGACTGTTTTGGTAAACTATTTATTTTTTAATTTAACTTGTTATTAGCTCATGTAATGAGTATGTATAGTTAAACTTTCTAAAACTACCAGAGGTTTCATTAAGTTAAAGAAAAACAAGATCACATTGATTATAACTTGCTAGCTGACTAAGTTAAAAGATGGTAAATATAAATATAACAAAGTGGTGTGAAAGACAACTTTTTTTAAAGAGTCAATGTAAATAAGGTGTTTTTGTGTCTCAACCGGTCTTTTCATAGGATAGATTACCGAACACTGAACTCCATTATGGAACATGCAACATTACAACATTTGCAATAAAGTATAATAGTTAAGGGTTTAGAATTAGTGCCAAGTTAAAAAAAAATGTATTTAATCTCAAGATATTATTTGTTGCAATATCAAATTATTATCACATATCTAATTAGTTTTTACTAATTAAGTAAACTTCGGTATCATAATTTTTTAATATTTAGTTTTATACTAGTATTTTAGAGATTGATAATTTAAATATAGAGTCTGCTAATGATATAAACTAATACTGGCTGTCATTACTCATATTTTTAAACCAATTATTAGCTTGGGCTTGTATTAATATTTGAAAATAAATTAAAAAAAAAATTTTATTTTTAAAAGCCGTTGCTGGGTATCGAAGGGAAGTAAAGCCTACTACTTTTCCATGAATGTTTATGTATATATCAGAAGAACGGTTACAAATTCACTATTTAATTTAAGAGGTTTAAAAGGCATTTAATTTAAAGTATCGAAAACTGTTAGTATAATAGTTTATTGTTAACCAAAAAGTTCTGAAAGGCCTAGTTACTAGTACTAATTAAGAGCTGAAGAGATCCCAACCCCTTAAAATTTACCAAATTTTGTTTATACGCCCACACTCAATAAAGGGCCCTTTGATTAGTAAAATGCTTCGGTTAAACCCACACTAAGGGTTCTCTAACCTCGAACTAATGCGATATTTTACTTTAATAATAATAAAAAAGACTTGTTTTAACCGAACCTCTTAATGTAGGACTTAGCTTGAATCCGAGTACGATCCTTTAATGCAAATGCGTGCATATCGTTCCTTTCAAATAAGCAAATATTGTTAAATAATTTGTTCTATTTAATTAATGTATGGTTTCGCTAATCATTCTATCAAACTATTAAAGTTAATTTAGTTGCACGCTAGTTAAAAGTTATTTATGCCGGATATTACATTACAATAATATCGGCAGTAAGGAAAATGCAAACTAGTTTATTCATTTTTAAAAACGAGCTATTTTGAAGGTGGTACTAAAACACTTTTAAGGCCTTCCAAAAGGGTTAAGTATTCCAAAATTTTAAAAAAAGTTACTAATTTTGTTAACCACAAGCTTTAATTTAAATATCATTTAATCTTTTGTTAAAATTATTTTTAAAATATATATATTGAACAAAAAATAAAGTTCATTCTTTTCACGCAAAGATAAAATGTTTCTTAAACTTTTATTACCTTTGAGCGCAATACTGCTATTTCTTAAAGATGGCAAACTTCAGTCCCCCAATGCTCCGCCCACCAACAATCCAGTTGATTACTGGAACAAAACTGGTGAAGAATTAAAAGAGTTTATTATTTCTTCACAAAAAGAACACAAAAATAATATTTCATGTGAAAACTTTAATAAAGATAACGCAAAAAAGTATATGCGGGAGACTGCTCATAATCTTGCTGAAAAAATTAGAAGTAATAGAACTAATTCAGCAGCAGGAGATACTGTGCAAAACAAACAGTATAACGATTATTTAAATTCACTTGCTAAAGACGTTGAAATTGAGTTTAAGCGCTCCTGCGCGAAAGCATTTGTTAGGCGCTGTCAATGCAACCAAACCCGCATTTGCTTAAATAAATTTGATAAGTTTTGGAAGAAAAAAGGGAAGAAATATATCCAAATTTGGTATGAAATTGTCACTGGTAAAAAAACAAATTCTTCAAGTTCAAAAAATACGGAACAGGAGACACAAGGTTCAGCGGCAAACGAAGAAGAATCTGGTCAAGCTATGAACCCCGGTACCTCAGATAGAAGTCGAAACACTAACCCGAAAGTAGAACCAATTGATCCGGGTGCAACTCCCCCAAGCGCTAGTAACCCCAATGAGGCTCAGAACGAAAACTCCCCTCAACCTAGCTCTAATAACCCAAATGAAGCTCAAGTTGAAAATTCTCCGCAACCCGGCCCTAACAACCCTAATGAGGCTCAAGCTGAAAACCCTCAGCAACCCGGCCCTAACAACCCTAATGAGGCTCAAGCTGAAAACCCTCAGCAACCCGGCCCTAACAACCCTAATGAGGCTCAAGCTGAAAACCCTCAGCAACCCGGTCCTAACAACCCTAATGAGGCTCAAGCTGAAAACCCTCAGCAACCCGGCCCTAACAACCCTAATGAGGCTCAAGCTGGAAACCCTCAGCAACCCGGTCCTAACAACCCTAATGAGGCCCAAGCTGGAAACCCTCAGCAACCCGGCCCTAACAACCCTAATGAGGCCCAAGCTGGAAACCCTCAGCAACCCGGCCCTAACAACCCTAATGAGGCTCAAGCTGGAAACCCTCAGCAACCCGGTCCTAACAACCCTAATGAGGCTCAAGCTGGAAACCCTCAACAACCCGGCCCTAACAACCCTAATGAGGCCCAAGCTGGAAATCCTCAGCAACCCGACCCTAACAATCCCAATGTAGCACAAACTGAAGATGTGGGACAAAACAACAATGCACCTCCATTAACACTTAGCAAAATTAAGGAAAATTAGATTTTAACTCAAGAATGACTAGATAACAACGATTAATAAAGATCATTTAATAAAATGAAATATTACATTATATGAAAATTATAAACATATATATTATCTTAATAGCGAGCTAAACTAAGCTGTACTTAGTGGTGGAGAATGGGTTTTTTTGCTCATATATAACATATATAGTATATTTATATGTTATCTTTTTAAAATCTTATATATATACCTTTATGTTATATTATTTTTGTTGAATTTTTTTTTATGATGGTAGTTTGCTAATGGGCTAACACGCGGTTTACTAAAGATTTACCACTCTACCTAAAGCCAGTTTCTTCTTGCTCTCTCTTTTAATTTAAGTGGGCATAAAGATAAAGCAACATATATTGGATAAGTCTCAGTAATTTATAAATAATAGTAAATAGTAGGTGTTAAGAGATATTGTGCGGGTAACACTCACGCTGTTTTTACCTTTTAACCTATATCGGCAATGTCGTGGGTTCATTCGTAAGTATTTTACAATTATTAAATCTATCATTTGAAATGTTACAAAAATTACTTGAATCATTACTGCACTAAAGCCTTCAGTATGCCAATTGTTGCAACCTATAAAGCTCTTAAAGCCTCCAACCTGTAAATGAACATTTTATGTTATACCCTTCTATTAAAAAGAAATTTTAGTTACCTAATTTAAAGTGTTATTGTTAAAAAAAATTTTAAAATACCTATGTTAAGTGTAATATCGGTAACGAGTTTACAACAACAACCTAGCTAATCTTAACTAGTGACAAAGGTTGAAAACTAAATGATTAACAATAATAAAACTATGATAAGTTCCTTTGCCTTTTATCTTGTAGTACTTTAACTTGAATTAAAATCAGAAAAGCTAAAACTTTTTTATAACTTGAAGTATTAATAATGAGATAATAGTTTTTAAATTTTCATTACTAAAATGCAATAGATGTATTATATTTAATTTTAAGCTATCACTACATTCTGTGAATTCGGGATGACTAAAGCTGTATTTTAAAACTTATAATGAACTAGTAATTTAAATTAGTTATAAATATATGAAATGATACTTTAACTGTAATAAATACCCAGCTCAGATTCTTATATCAAAACCTCTTTAAGCCCTCGTAATAAGTGCACGTGCCTATGCATTCATTTATCTTTGGCTTTTGCAAGTATACGCCCCTTTTCCGCAATAAGAGGAAGTTCGAGTCGTATTTATTTTACTTAATAGTTTAAGCCTTTTTCCTTGCTTCAGAGCTCTGTTCCTTTCTTTTTTATTCAATAAAATTAAAAATCTAGATGTTTTTTCGAATATACACCTTTAGCCCACGCCTTAGAACCGATATACCTTTTTGAAGAGTTACATAAACTAGTCGATAATTATGCACTCCCCACCTCTCTAGTTAATCATTTATTGCTTAATAGGAGAATAGAGTGGCATAGGATTAAATCTGGTTTAGCCTCTAATCTTAGATTAGTTGCTCGTGTTAAAACGGAAATTTTCTATTTTAGTCAGGTGCCCTAGTGTCGCATAACAAAAATAGCCGTTTATGTAGCCTGAGTAAAAGATAGTTCTGCTAACGAGGATAATTTGAAGGAAGTAAAAAATTGTTTAATATAAGGGCCTTCCCAAACTTTTAAAATGTTAAGTAAAAATTTTGCATCATTATTTATATTTAGAGTTTATATAGGATATATATATGCTATATTGCCTATTTGGAACTTGATGTAATCATTAACCCGTATACCTTGTACTGCTCGCATGAGGGGGTTTAAGTAGCATGCAAAGACCTGCAAGCAAGTTTTGTGGGTGTGCGGGTAGATTCACGCCTAAAATGTAGCTATGTGCTTCTGTACTCATTTTATAACTGACTAGCATTGCAACAAGTTTATAAGTTAATCTTGCTGTTAACCTCCGTCACCATTTTTTGGCGTCCTCTAATCAATGAAGAAAAAAAAACACAAGAGCAAAAAAGCCTTGGCGAGCAGCTTGTTAAATACAGCATAGCATACAATTATAATCTTTACAAAAGACAAAAATAATTAACAATTCTTAGTTGTATTATTATTTATATTTAAATTTTTTCCATATTTGTATCTTTGTACTAAAAAATTAGTTGTACAAAAACAAAGAAAGAGCTCAATCAATTTAGTTCGGAAAATTAACAGAAAAACAACGTTTTTGATTAATTAATGTTTTTAACTGTCACTCTTTATATGATACTTTTTATATACCTTTTTTTGTTATTTCTGTTTTTTTAGATTAGTGTTTTCTTCTTAGTTTTGCTTCTAAATTGTCTTGGGGTATATATGAGGTAATAAATATCTTTTGTTTATATATATATTTTTTCCTCTTTATTTTCAGAAATATAGTTGGGTACTGTATTGTATATTTCTTTAATTCTGCAGCTATTCCGTAAACTGCGTAAGTGTGGTTCACTAAAGAATACTAAAAGAGCATTCACTCCAGACAAATATTCAAACCAGTAGCTTTTTCCATTTTTAATTAAGAAGTCTCATTGTACCACAGAAGATATTGTTATAAATCTCAATAGTAGTGACTAACAGTATACGTTTTTTTTTTCTGATGCGCGTTCAATAACTTTAATACTTGAAAGCTGAACACAACCATAATAAATTATACACAGCAACTAAAACCTTGAGTGAATCAATAACCATCGTCCAGTGCGTCACGCAGAAAAATTAAAGTTCAAGTTCGCTTAACAGAAAGGGTGGGAAAATTTTAGTTAGAAGGGTATGACCAGGATATATCTATTCAGGTCGCAACACGGAACCGTTTTAAAAAACCATTAACTGTTTTATCGAAAGGGCGAGGCCCCCTCTGTTGTATGAGCAGGGGGTGGCGAAATGGGCCGTGGGTGCACGATTTAAAAAAGCCGCCCGGTTGTTAAGCATCAAAAACTTCTTCATGCTGCACAGTGAAAAATATATTGCCAGGGTCGCCGCTTGACTTTCAAGATTAAATTTTAAAAAAGCCTTAAAGAGAGAAGTTGACATAATGATATAGCGATGAGTGCTATTGCCAACGAAATAACGGCCAAAAAGGTATCCGTGAACCCGTATAGTGAAGAAACTGCTTTAAAGCCGAGCGGTTCATGTATTATCAATAAAATAAGAAAAGAAACCTATGAGGCATAATGATGTATACTATGCTAGGGACAACCACAATAATTATAGTTTTTTCACTAAGGTAGGCATATTGAAGTTAAAAGTGGGAGAACTGGACGCCTTGTAAAAATGTGCTGAACAAAACTTATGGCCTAACAAGGGAAGTGCGAAAGAATTATTTCAAAATGGTCAGTCATCCCGAACTAACGGAAAGAAAAAATGAACCTAGACTTCCAAGCCATTGCCACATTCTATAATAAAAGCTATATTCGTGAGGTTTAACTGGCAGGCGACATAATATCGGATTGAGTGGTTGTTTAAAGATCAAAGGTCCAAAAAACTTTTGCGATGGTAACTCTCCCGAAAGGCCTGAGGCTACTAAATGCCTTTTAGATATTGATTTGCTTTCTACTAACTTGAAAATGGTTTAAATAGCTAAGTTATTGGTTTCGCTATATCGACTGTAAATAGATGTGTCCGGCATGTTTGCAACCTGTAAAGAATGGCATAGTCAATAAATGCTATTCGCTTCGATTCTTGGCGCTTGCTGGCTAACTAAAAACTGGCTGAGTAACAATAAAGCTTTATTCCAATTTCGTACTAAAGTGAGAACACGTAGTTACCTTTAAATTAACTTAATTCAATAGTGCTTTCTTCCTATATTCTTGTTAGACTCTAGTGCTGTACTATGAAGTGATACTGTTATAGTTCACCACAAGAAGAAGATTAACTAATGTATTTCTAAGATCGCCTAGAAGTCAAGTCCAAGAGGTTCCCGGGATCTAGAGAGCTCCCGAAGAAGAGAAAGGGCCTGATTTTTAAGGCTCTAAGATACTCTAGTTCAGTAATCTTAAAAGGTTTTTCACGAACTTAGACGTGTTGAGTCTGTGTACCCTTATAACGGGATAACCGCACCCTAATGAGGGTTTTCCTTATAGATGCGGTAATCTCGCCACCAATGATGTTTTATTTCCATAAATGTAAAAAAGGTCATTTTGCCCATCTGAATGTGTTGTAAATAGATTGTTAGTTTTACAGATTTTACTCTAAAAAAAATTGTGCATTCCACCATAAAAAAAAGCAATTTCTAATATAAATTATGCAGTTAAAATAGGGTTAGTTCGTGATAAAACTAAAACGCTTCCCAATTACTTTTATAATGTAAACATGAACAACCCTTTTTGCTTTAAATAGGGAAAAACGATTAAAATAAATAACAATACGCTTAAAGGTTACAATTTTAGGCACTTCTATTTCAACAGTTAAGAGAGAAAGAAAATTTAACTATACTCTCTTTTTCAAGTAATTAAGTATCTATAACTTTTGAAAAGTATAAAATTTGAAGCCTTCTTCTCCATTTGAGGAGACAAAGTTAAAAATCTGCAAGAGAGAAAGAACTTTACTACCTAAAACGCGAAAATGAACTCACGCTTCTCCTTTTTTTCCTGTTAACAGATTGCAGGAGTTCTGAGAAAAATTCTAATTAATTAATTCAATCTAATTAAGAGAATATAAACAAAGATAATCGACCTTATATTTTATAATTAAACTCTGCAGTTTGCATCCATATTATCCCAGGACCAAAAACTACTAAGTAATAGTAGATATTAGCCAAGTTCTGTAATCACATTAAATAATTAATCAAAAACCAAAAAAACAGGTTATATAAATCTTCCACTATTTTCACCCCTTTATTTAAGAAAAATATACTATTAGATGATGAGACTGATTTCACTGTAATTTGTACTAATGGAAAAGCTATAATCAAGAAGTCAATCAAATATAGCAGAAAGAATAGAATGAAAGAATTATATAAATTTAATTATAATATTTACAACACAAACAATTCATTAACAACCAAAGTACATATCGTAGGAAATATAAGACATCTCTAAGCTCCTCATCTTCCAAAATTTGCTGACTTACTAAAAATGAAGCCTTAATATATAGAACGTTGAAAAGTACAAATGTGACATAATCTCCCTTGAATAATATTATACCAAACAGCAAGATAAAATAGACCATGAATACACTCTTAACTCACTACTATACGCTGAAACTAAACACACTTTGTACGGCAACTATCTTACCCCTAAACAAAAGAATGCTGGGAACGCTTTAGCAATCAACTTAACAAGAAAAGAACAATTAACACTGGTTGCTACATGTGCAAAGGAAATAACACAATGCGCATAGTGCCTGGAAATAGAACATATTAAAAAGCATGCAAATACTGTGTATACCATAAAATTCACAAAAATTAGTATTACGAGTACCGAAATCCATAGTGTATCTATCGCCGTAAACTAGGTTTGCAAAGCAAAAGATAGGCCAGCTGTAACAGCGCATATGAAAGCATACTTAAAAACATGTAGCCTAAAGAAACTAAAGTTTATAATTCATCCTAGCAAATCAACATCAACATTTGAATTAACATGAGACTAGTCTTTCCTTCTCTATGGTCCACATCAGAGTCGCCTACCCGCGCATTATCAGGGATAAAGAGTTGTTAAGTGATATTAATAATGTGAACAGGAAAGTCTGGAAGATTAAATCATTTAAACATAATATCATCTCTGTCGCGAAACTAGACGAAAGTGGACACACAACCACTTCCATAACCGAACAGTAACAATTTCATTAACTAACGGAGGCACTATTTATGATAATACGAATCACTCGATTAAACCAATATCTGAATTTGATGTAAAAAGTACAAGTGCGATTCCTCCCAAACACTATATATACGGCCCTGCAAACTACAGACAACCGAAACACATACTAACATTCAACCATTTAAAAGTGAAGGATGCGAATGTTTTTACAATGCAAAAAAAGAAGCAAGTAACAAACACAACGAGACGTACAACCAAAGGAAACCAAAGAGATCCTAGTGAACTACAAAGAGACACACTACAATGGACACGATATACCAATTAGGCAACAAATATGAAGCGATTTTAATAGATCCCCAATAAAAAGAAATCCTCTTTAAATTTACAACCAAAGAGCAAATTAAGCATTAAATAATCAATTTTATAACTGTACATATCCTCAACAAGCAAAAGTTAGCACTTACTGAAGAGATCAGAGTTGATAACGGAACAGGGTTTATTAACAATAAACTACATCGACGCCTTAACTAAATTGGGATCCTTATTTCTATCACATCAGAAGGCAGTCAACAATAAATGATTAGTGAACGAAGTAAACACTAAGTAACATGACAAGAAGCATCCTCAAACTTTTTCACAATTATAAAAACCTAACTCCCAACTAAATATTCGAAATTAAGGGGACAGTATTCCTTATAAACCACTTGGCAGCAAGGTTTTAATCCACAACCCAAAATTTCACCACCGTATTATTAGTAAAATGATGCTTCCATACCTTCCCCCAGCGGAAGAATATATAAATCTTAACCTAAAGATAGGAAAGATTTCTTAATCAAGAAACGCAGTATTCTTTGAACATATATATCTCCTACAATACATCATTGACGACAGGGGCTAAAAGTAGAAAACACAACGTCACTTTCGTTTATCAACTAAATCAGCATACACTTATCATTCATAACCCTACTATGAACCCTCAGCATACAAACCACGAATAAGAAGATAAGCTACGAGGATGAAAACAACGAGAAGAGCATAAAAACTTAAAGCAAAACCTAGAAACTATGAACCAAATAACATGCACAATAGTGGGAATGAAGAAAACAACAACAAAAGCAATTTAATCGCAGTAGGTAACCATTTTAACCCTTGCATAAAAATCAACAGCAAACTACAACAAGTTTGTCAGACTATACTTCACTGCAATACCGCAGGACATTCAGAAGAATAAGAGCAAAACAAGAAATTAAAGTACGACATCCTGAAAGTTAATAAAAATACTAAGAACATACAAATTAGAAGTCTCGACACATGTACACCCAAAACATGACACTAAACAATTACATGGAAAAATAACACCAAAATAGACCTTAAAACATCAACCATGGCCAACATAGCTACGAAGCTAACTGTACTTGAATAAGAAAATAACGAATATACTGCTATTGTTTACAGTTCACAAAACAATAAATGTCCTAAGCAAGAAGAGCAGTTATCAGCCATCGAATGTATAAATTACAACAAAAACTTAGGCAACCTTACAAGAGAAATACAACAGAATTACTCATCCCAGCTCTTAACAAAGGAAAAGCAACACACGCAAGGCCTGAACATAAATTTTACAAACAAGAAATTAAAAATATTAATTAAAATAGAGATCAAGAAGCAAGGAAACGAGAGAATATAGAAGTACCTATTAAAAAGACGATGAACCCGATATGTTAGTAGAAACTACCTCTCTGTTAACCTACAGTAAAGCCAGGAAGGAGCCCAATCAGGAAAATTTAAATAGGCGGCCATCTCTAAACTCAACTCAATTGTTAAGCACGAAGGATTTACAATAATTAAGGAGTGCGAATTGACCAGAAGGCACCAAGTGCTTTCAGTTATAAGGAAGTTACTTATAAAACTGACAAAAAATAAAAAAACTAAACGCGAGGGGTTATATGTAAGAAAAGGGTGTAGACTAAAATTATTTTTTTGTTCTCTACAAAGCACTATTCGGGTCCTAACAACCATAGCCCTACTAAAGAACTTAAATATACGCACAGCTGTTATTACCACCTCACCACGTAAAACTAGTCCTTCAAAGAATGTACCTAATAAGAGGATTGAACTCGCACCAAAAAAGTTGCTTAACGCACAGTATAAAAAGAAGACTGTGTGGTAAGAGGAAAAGTCGCAATTTTCGGGTTGAAAGAGTCCGAAAGACTATTTTACCGCCATATTACCTCAGACATATTAAATTTGGCTACAATCAGTTTCTTATAGGCAACTAATACTACTCTAAAATAAGGGGCACAGCTCTAAAAATTATTTTACGTGTAAATGTCATATCATTAGCAACGAACTGTGTTATAACCAAAGTAAAGATTACAAAGTTCTATGGAGATAAAAACAGCGAAAAAAAAAGTAACAGCAATTAGAATAATAGAAATTTAGAAACTTGATGAAATAATAAAGTAAACTAAAACTTAAAATATAGATAAGCAGAAGGCATGAAAAGAGCAATTATATTAAAATAAAACTACAAGAACAAATAAAAAACAACTGAGAGTTAAGCAGCACAATCAAAGCAGAACAGTGAAGAACAAAAGTAATAAAGCGCTTCAAAAAAAAAATATAACAAAAATTAAAATCCTCCCACTAAAAAAGGAGCTTGCTATAAAACCTATTCGAGCAATAAAAGTGTTCGTGCCTGCCAAATTAGGTGCAAGGCGCAGGCCCTTTAGGACTATAACATGAACGACACTTTACGAATGAGCTAAGAAAGACTATGAAGTAGTAACTACTAACTGAGTTGAAGGGATTTTAGGCGTTGGAATTTTTCAAATAATTAGTGGAATCTCTATCAACCTAAAAAACCTAATATTAATGTTAAGCAAAACCTACGAAATCAACGCTTATTAATCAATGACCTTGCAGAATTCCATTACACTGGAGTCTCCCTCAACAAACGGCACAAATAAAGAATATGTAAAGAAGCCTACAATAAATACGCCCGCCAGAAATATATCATTTTCAACTTCGCATAATAACCACGCACTCCATCTCAAAATGGGCCCGTCGCGTACTCGCCTACTTACACTTTTCAAAGGACTACTCCCTAATACACAAAAAGGAAATAATAACGACAGGAACCCTTTGAAAATAGGATGCTATTAGGATTCTTCATGGGCCGACACCTACGATGAATATCGCGCCATGGGATTTATCATTATGATAAATTATAACTTAATTCATGGTGATTTGATGTCGACAGATGAAAAACAAACACACAAATCAACGTGCAAATCTGAACACATAGCACTAAAAGCAGCATGGGGGTCGAAGCAAGGAAAAATTTTATAAGCGGATATATCCTGAACAAAACAAACATCTCCTTGTTTACCAACAAAGTGACAATTTGCGACACGCAGATATAATGACTAAAAAGTTATCTTATCAAAAACACCAACATATCTTTAGTTAACTACTGCACACTAACTTTTAACAACCACATAACAGTTATAAAAAATAACAATTTAAGTTGAAACAAAACCCGCATATACTAAAACAAATACAATCAAAAATTGCCAAATATTAAATAGCAACAGCTGCCTGATTATTAATTGAAGTAAAATTAATTTTTGTAAAGCAATAAATTTTTAATTATATGTGATTGAGGGTTGACCATTTATGGGCACAATCCTAATTAAGAATGTAAGGTATGCCGTGAGCGCCGTGCTACTCAGGCGGCTCGAGAGCAATCAAATAAATTAAACAGCTCTTCTTAATTTTAACTAACTCTATATTATATTTCATTGTCATATAATATGAAATATTACTCTTATCTTGATTATGATATATATGTTCCTGAAGTTATTAAGTCTGTAAGATCAACAATCATAAAAATGGCAGGAAAAAAGCTTATCAAATGAAGTCTCGAAGTTCATTGGTGGGCAGGATTTGAGAATTTAGTATATATAACGAGAAAAATTAACTAATAATCTACACCTGGCGCGGGTAGGCCGTTTTACTTCGCCGTCTTAAGAGGTCGTTTACGCTTGGAAAGCTTTACCCGAGTTTCAATTTGGATTAAACGACCCGGCAGCCTCTCCGTTTAACTGAAATGGACCGCTCACGCTTTTAACCATAAGAAGGCAACAGGAGCAGTCTTCTTTGGCATTGAAAAGGCATTTGATCAAGTTTGGCATGAAGGTCAGCTGCACAAACTGCGCTCGTTATCCGTCTTCATGACCTTTGTAAAGTGCTAAAATCATACCTGAACGGTCGCGTCTTCAGCGTGCGCGTGGGGGATACCCGGTCACCGCTTCGGGAACCTGACAGCTGGGATCCCTCAGGGATCACTTCGCTCGTCCCTTTTATTTGCAATTTACATGAGCGACGGGCCCTTGTCGTTCGACCCACACACACAAATCGCCCTCTACGCTGATGATATGACCGTATATCCCTCTTCGATGTCTCCCGCCTTGCTATGCAAGCATCTACAGCGCTATTTTGACGTTCTTGCTGTCTTCCCTAGCCCTCTAACGTGGACTATTCAGTGGTGAGGGTCTAGGCAGCATCCAGGCGCTTTAACCTTTACTTTGCGACAAGGTTAAGCTTTCACTGCGAACCAAACGACGACTGCATTTGTCTTACATCCAACCCATACGCGTCTGCTGCTCGGACCTACAATTGCATAAATAATAAACTACCTTTTTTAGCTCTTTGGCTTAAATTTTAAAAAGGATCAATTTTAAAAAAAGCCATGCTTTAACAGGGTAAAATTTACTTCCATTGATAAAGACGCACACCAACATATGTTAATTGAGGGAAGCATATAAACTATGTGATATGAACGCGATGTATACCTGAACAGTTAACCACCCAGTTGCTACTGATCTCCAGCGCTATTTTAATTATAAGCCCCTTTAAAAAAGTGGTAACTCATCAGTGAGGCATACGGGGTAAAAACTGTAAACAAAATCTACAAGTCCTAGTCTGTAAGGTACCCGCCCACTACTTTACATGTTTTAGGACCGAGTTGGAGAAGGAATACCTCTTGCTATTCCTGTGGACCACATCCTTGACATACCAACCCGCAAGCTTTCCTTTCAAGCAGTTTTTATTAAGTATAACGTTCTGCTTAAATGCGAATCATTGACCTAACCGACTTACGGTATGCAGACTCTATAAACCGATTAAAATCGTTTACTATAAAGAACAAGAAACAAGAGAACGATATTGTAAGACAAAAGCTTACGACCTAATTGTAAAATTAAGATTTATAGTTTAAGCGAAGTTTCGCTCTACTCTATTTTTAAGAATTTATCACCAATCGCGTCGGTGGTGTTTTTTTTAAAATTACTGGTAGATGGTTTTGGATACAAGAAGAAGAACGGTTTATTTGTTTACTTGAAATACTTATCACCTTAATAATTACTTTGTTATAAAGTTAATGACCATTTAGAATCTATAAGTTTACTAATAACTTCAAGTCTGAAATATCTTTGCAAGCTTTCATTTTATAAAAAAACCAGTTGTAATAAAACTTTTTAACACATCTAGATCAACACTTTTCGTGACCAAGTTGGGTTTGAAACTTTTATTATTTTTCCGAATAGTAACTACTTCTTCGAAGTCAGGATGAGGTGTTCGTACTCATATATATCTAAATAGTGTAAAATTTACAAAAGGGGAATAATATTGCTTAGGAAGGCAGTTATCCTGTATGCTTTGCCATGCTAAAAAAAAGATGCTTCCAGCACCTGCAAAGACTGCTTCAGGGTTAAAATAGATTAACTTTTTTAGATTATTAATTTTTTTTTGAAAGGTATACTAATATAATTTATATGCAAAGGTTTATGTATCTATAAGCACTATAAATTTTATTCCATTTTTTTTTGTATCTTAAAAAGTTTTTGTAAATCTTTTTTAGAATTCTAAGTTGGGTCGCCTTTTAGATTTCTTTATTTGTAAAGTTCTATACTTTGCCTTGAGCAGTTGCTTTGTGAGTTCGGTATCAGTAGCAGTTCTTCTTCCTGAAGAGTCGCTGCTCAACTCCTTTTTTGTGTACAAATTAACGTGAATCAGACAGTATATCCATTTTTAATTATATTATAAAAGATGTAAAAATATTTTTGAAAATTTATGAGGAAATTTTTTTTTAAATAAATATTTTTATTTACGCAAATTTTAACTAACAAAATCTAATTAATAATTTATAGACTTATTAGTAAATAACGTTGATATAATTTTTATTAAAAATTTAAAAGCGAATAAATTTAATTTATGCTCAAAAAAACTTTTAATAACTTTTAAATAATTAAAAAAATTGTTTTAATACAAGAAAGTCAAGATATAAATTAAAATTATTAGCTAACTTATAAAAATTATCCTTTTTATGTGGTTTATATAAAATTATATATTGAAAAGCAAAAGCAAAAAAAAACCTCTTTAATATCAAAAATAAGCTGCTTGTTTCGTGAATATACGATAAAAGTAATAGTAATATTAAAAATATAATTCAATTAAATTTTGTATTAAGTAAGTTTACGTGGTAATTATAAATAATAAAATATACAAAAAATAATCTTTATTTTTCAATAAAAAAATATAAGAAAAGATCAATAATTTATATAGAAAAAAATTATTTCAAGTAAATAATTTATTAAGTTAGTTAAAAGCAACCTCGTAATCAAGAATAACTTGTTGTAAAGTAATTAACTAACAACTTATATTTTCGATTTAAAAAAAATTACTAAATTAGAAAAACTTTATTAAAAAATAATAAATAAACACAGAAAATAGTTTACTCCTCTTGTTTTAAATTTAGCAAAAGAACGAAACCCCAAATTGGCGGGATCCTCTTCCGCTAAGCGTTTATAAAATAATCGTAAACTTCGAATTATTATTATTATAATTATAATTATTACAAGTTTTCCTGGTTTTATTTATTTTTTTTTCTTTTTTTATTTCTGAAATCGAGGTGTCCAATTGTCTTAACCGAGATGACCTTTTATATAATAATAATAATAATACTATTAATATTAATAATTATAGTAATATATACATATGGGAAAACTCCTGCGCCGCCTGAGAAATAATGAAAGTATTAGAAAAAATCTGCTCAATTTTTTCTTTCATTTTTTTTTTCAGTGCGTCTTCAAAACGTTTAGCCAAACTGAAAAAAACTATATTCGTCAGCAAAAATAATACCCAAAAAAAAGAAAAGCATACACGCGAGACGCGCTACTTCTGTACAGCTGGAAAACGTCCTTGCGGAAAATAGAGTGAAGATGGTCCACGTGGTTGCTGGACGGGTGTTTAAACAAAAATAATTATTATAAACTTTTACATGCCGTGTTTTTTTTTTATTTTATATTTGAAATTTGCCGCAAACTTTTCATAGTTTCTTATTATTATTATCGTATTGAACCAGAGAAGCCCGTAGACAATCGCTTTCCATCGATTTTTATTATCTGGCGAATAATAGTGATCCTCAACAACTATTCGATGATTTACTAAAGAAAGTGCAAGAGGAAGATTCGTTCGGTCCTTCAAGTTTTTCACAATAATAATAATACTAATAGTAATACTAATGATAGTAAACTTTTTTATAAGGAAAGTCATAAATAATCCCATCAAAATCTTCATTCAGCTATAAAATGAAAAATATCAACGATTTTTTTATATTATATTATTTTCTTATGTTATAAATAAAGTTTTGCCTTTTTTCTTATCGCAGAAAGTTTCTCTTCAGAATACAAATCAGAGCAGGCAATGAGAGGCACAACTAAGTAAGGATAGTAATAATAATAATAATAATAACAACAACAACAACAACAATAATAATAATAATAATAATACTTACTTGGAACTTTTGTTTCTCCCAATTCTGTAAAAAACTTTATATCGTTTTCAGTGGCTCCTCTTCAGTCCAACAGTAAAAAAAATGATATAAATATATTAAAGGTTAATAATAAGTAAAATATAATAATAAAGAAATAAACAGAAAATACAAAAATAGTAGTTTGCGTGAATTATTGTAATAAAATAAATAATAATAATAAAAGAAGACAAATGGCCTTACTTACACGCACCTAAACTCCACTAACGAAAATGAGTGGAGGAAAAAAAAAACCCCCCAACAACTTCTTAAGGGGGGGAGAGAGGTTTATCCCCTTTCCGTCCAGATATATATACAAATATACTCGATAGAAAGTAAACTACTCTTCATTCTCGAATTTCATAAGATAAAGACAGACGTGGACACACGGATCCACCAAATCAGTAGGTCGCTCGAAGGAATATAAATGGAGGAACTCGTGCTGGAGTGCCCGGTTCATTTGCAGGTTAATATAATTCACGCATAAATTCTGTCTGGAATATTAGTGAATTTGATAAGCGATAAACTAATACAAGCAGTCAATCAAAAAAATATGCAAAGTTTCTGTCTATAAAATTGTAATGGTCATAGAAATAAATAAAACTTTATTTTGCTTTGGTTTCCTGACTAAGCAGTTAAGCTGATTGACTCTGTTCAAATATAACATCCGCCTTTTGGCTCTAAGCAATAGAAGCTAACTACCATGAAAGAAAGGCATTTCCAAAAAAACACCGATAATAGCCAGGCAGGGCCAACTAGATTAAAACTCTCAACTCACTTGAGAGTTATCGATTATATATTATAAAATCAAGAGCCTCCTAAACGGCCCTGGCAATCGAGCTTTAATATTATTAACTTGTAGTAATGAATGACCAATCACATCAGGGCTCGCTGCAGCCTTCTTTAAACTCTAGCATTGCGGGATTGTCCCAAAGAGAGGCATGCAATGTATAACAGATTAACAAAAAGTTGGTATACAAGAATATTAATAAAAGAAGATTATATAAAAAAAAGGATGTATACACAACCCAGAGGCGTCCCTGACTGGGCATTCAATTAATGAAAAAGTCAGCGATTGGTGGTCTAGAGATTCGTCTATAATATCTTAAAGTTTCACAATATAAATCATTGTCAGTAACAATAGTATTGTTATTGACAAGAAAAGGTTACCAAAAGTATTCACGACTGCCTGGTTGAGCAAAGAAAGACATTTGACGTTCTTTGCGTTATGCAGGAGTGACTTGATAAGCATCGACTTGCCGGACTTCCAATGGCCTTTAAGTAAATATCAAAATTCATTAAAAACTCCTAAAAAACTATATATTTTGATAGTTGGCATGTTTACTATTTTTTATGTCAGCAAAATATTAATAAACTTTTTTTTCATGCGTGCACTAAATAATGTAATATTGTGAAAAAAAAGTTATAATAAACATTTGAAATGTACTTTATGAAAATATTTTTCATGAATAAAAAAAGTTTTACTTTTAAAAAAGAAAAAATTTAATTGTTAATAGTCAATAATATATTTATTGCCTGTTATCAGAACATTTAAAGTGGAGGTCAATGGCATGGGAAGGCACGTGGAGGGCATATTATAAGAAATATTGGTGGCCATTGAAGGCAACGACCGAGCAGATTCCACAGTTTTAAAGAAAAGAATTTTTCGATCTTCATTTCCTGCAAGATAATGGACTTCTGCTAAAAATAAAATTTATAAGGGAAGTAGCAATAGAAAAATTTAGTCGCGTTTTCATGCATTCAAAATAATGAAATGTTTTTTATCGTCGGTGATTGGCCAACACTTTAATCTGAGAATTCCGTAGTTATCACATTTTTGGAACCAAATTTGTTACAATGAATGTTAAATAGATTTTCTTTCTAAAAAAGATTTTCTTCTTTAAGATTTGTCGAATCACTGTCAATACTTAAAAAATGGCAAAAACTTAACTAAGCTCCGTAAAGCTTCTATAGTAATACTTTTTCCTACTATTATTTTTAATATTAACACTTTAATATAAATTTATAATAAAACCCAATTACAAATTTTCATTAACAGAAGATAAAAGTATAAGTAAAAAGGGAGAACCAGAACGAAGTTCATCCGTTTGAACGGCAGCGTCCGCAAATATGCGATCAACATATGATGAATAGCCGATCAGAGTGGGTTCTTCATTACTCCACGTGACGCTTTTTCTATTTTCGTAAGCCAGAATTATATGAAATAGCTTATAGATAGAAAATTTTTTGTACATACAGTTTTGTTATAATCAATTAGTAAAATACGTTATAACTATAAACTTATTATAAAAAAAGCAGCGATCAAGTAAATTATAATAAAAAGTGCGTATTAATAAAGAGAAAACTTTAATTATTATTGTCAATGCGTATAATTTAAAGCAGAACAAGAAAATTGTAAAAGGAAAATAAACTTATTAAATAAAAGTGGATCTCACTGGAGTTTTTAACTAATTTTCCAGGTTCCAGGGAAATAAATTATAACAATGAAATTGACTAACTTTTATTAATTATTCTGTATAATATTAAGTTAAAGAGCTTAGAGTAGTAATTAAAACTTTGATAAATAAAATGATTTTCATTAATTTAAAAAAAAAATGTAAAATTTAATACTTTAGGCGAACAGAAGTTTCAGAGCCTATAAAAATTTCATTTCGTAAAGTAATGGCCTAACATAGTAGTAAAAATAAATTTATAAATTAATAGAGCTCTAAACTTTATAAATATTGATTAGTACATCAACTACATTTGAAAGACTCCTGTCAGATCTTGTAACCAAAAATTCGTTATTCCCTTCGAAGAAAGCCAACAGTAACACGAAGTTGAAGCAAAAGGAAAAAAATATAGAAGAAAACGTAGACCTTTTGTTATTTTATAGTAGTTGCTATTTTGTCTTGCCTCTACCTTAACTCTAAATGATTTTGTATATTTATGTGAATTGAGTATATATATAAAAGAAGAAAACGCGGTTTTCCAAAGGGCAGAGGATTGAGTTGCTTGAAACAAGCTACTCAGAGCTTTTTGCACGGAGCCGGGATTAATTTCTAGTTAGTAAAGTTTTTATTTAATTTTATTTTTTTTAAATAAGTTTCTAAAATTACACATACCTAAACTTTCTCAATTAAATAAACGTAAAATAATAGAAACCTAAAATCTCTTTTCTTTTGGGTAAAATGAGCCTTGACTTCTCTGTTTTGCTAGTCGTAGGAGATGGTAGAGCTTGCAACTGAGAATTTTGGCTTTGGTCTACCTCAGAAGATAAAGTTATACATATAAAAATAAAGAATTGGAAAAGAAAATATATAACGGTATATACTTTATATATTTGTTTTAAGACATTTAAGTGAATAAGTTTTGAATTTTATAAGTAAACTTGTAGTTGAGAAAAGCTTTAATTAATACACTTTAATAATAGTGTTTTTTAAAATAAACTAGAACTAGAACTAGTCACAACCAAAATATTATTAATTTATTAAAAAACAAAAGTATAAACCGAATAAATATGAGTACCCGCCACCTCGCTCATCAGGCCTAAATTAGCTAACCGCCATCGCCTCGATCTATATATCGGTGCTTTAAGGAAAAAAGACCTCCTCTTCAAAAGAGGAAAGATGCCTTCGTAAAATTATAATTTTGTTTAATATTTCGTGTAAAAGTCTTATAAAACTTCAAACATATTCTAGCTCCAAAATTTAAATTTAAGTTCTTAAAGGTAGGGATTGTTTCGTAGCAACTTTACATAGTTTAAGTTCTAGACTCCATTATCACTTGTCTTCGTACAATGAACAGTAATCTCCGTTATTTAATGTTTTAAAAGCTACAACAACTACAGAGGCCTTATTTTTAATGGTTTGAGTATTTGTAGGTAGTAAGGAAAAACAACAAGTTGGTGGTATTTCGCATTATAAAAAACTGTCTAACATTGTAAGTTGTTATCAAGTAACTATTAATATTTAAAACTGTCTACATGATACTTCTTCTTACGGTGTCATTATTAAAATTAAGGTGTAGTGACTTTGTTATGTTTTTCCACCATTTGTTAATTAAAGCTTTCTGGAAAATATGGAGTTTAATTAGGCAGTGGTAGTTTAAAATTAAAAAAACTTGATGCGTTATTTGTCGTCATCAGTTACCGGAGTTTACTTAATTAAGGCAACCTCTTATGATTACATATAAAACTGAAACTATTCAAAAAAAGGCATAAAGTTGCAAGTATATAAGAATTTAATTTGGGCATAACTATTACTTTCAGTTAAAAGGAGTATTAAAAGTAAAATGTAGTTGAGGGATTAAAGAAACGACTTGAAAAAAGTAAAATTAAACAAAAAGTGGTTTACCAGGAATTGAAATTCTACGAAAAACCTCAAACTAAAATTTTCCAGACAAAGGTTAAATGAAACCTTTTTAGAATTAATGAGGGCGAGATTTACTGCGCGACTATCAGAGACCGAAAAAGAGAGTCACGTCGGTGGGAATCAAACCCACGACCTTGAGTATGCGCGTCAATCCTCTTAACTTGCTGGGCTACATCGCCAACTCTCGATCCATTATAATGGTGTTAAGTATTAAACCTGTTAAAACCTCTTGCACATCAAATGTGATTGTGCTTGCCTACCGAAACCCATTTGATCCACTTAAAAACTATTTAAATATAGAATAATATAACAACGTTAATAACAGTTTTTTTTTTAATAATAATAGGATAATATTAATAGAAACAAAACCAATAAAAGTAATAACGGTTTCAATAATAACAGTAAATACTATTAGTAGTGGTAAGGGTGGTACCAGTGCTAAAAATAATAATTATAGTAGAAGAGTATTTTTTTTATTACAACTTGAAATTAAAAAAGGAAATAACACGGTTTTACTTAATTATATGGTTTCACCGTTAATGATTTTTACGTTTTTATCACCATATCTTGAAATAAGATAAATATAATAAGACCACCTATTAACTCACAATATAAAAAACTTAAAACTGTTAAGGGTTTTTTTTATAGTAATATGGACTGAACTAGGCTGAAGTGAAGTCCTAAGCATATTTTTTTATTAGGGATCAACTAAATCTATATTTTTGCTGCCGAGTATGTAAGCAGAACTTGAAATACTTACGCTATAAACATAATAGCAAACTATGCAAAAAGCTAATGGAGGATAGTGTTGCGCAAAATGTAAAGCTGCACACACAGATAATTATGAAGATTTACTTTCCTACACTAATAATGAATCATTCTTTAAATATTACAAGGTAACTGACTATTACATACTAATAGAATTTCTAAACCTCAAGACCAAGAAACCTTAGTAAAACTAATTCTCCACTATTTACAGCGAAAACTATTAAATAATATAGACAGTAAACAAAACTATATGGTCTAAGAAGTCTCGCTGGCAAGAAAATGAGAATTAGAACAGAATAAGCTAAATACGATTTGCCATACGCCAAAAATTGGAATTATCCTAGTTTCTTAAACTTTATCTGTTGCAAAGGTATTTTTTGTACAGAGAGCATAGTTTTCTGACTAGAGTATTCATAAAATAATATATATAGAACACCATTCTCTATTAAAAACCTTCAGGACTTGAGACTGACATTGTTAACGTGAGGACTTGATAAAATTAAGTAAAAGTATTTAAAAAAAGGTATTAAATCCTGGGATACTACCGAACTTGGGGATCTCAGCCAATGAGCTTTTACTTATAATTAAAAAAAAATTTTGGGCTTTACAAAATTAGTTTTTCTCAACCAATAATCTGGCTTGCTACTGCTATATATATGGCAATTTTTAAATTGTGTTTTCGTATTTTAGTTTTTTTATTTGTATCAATTTGAATATATGTTTTATCAAAAAACTAGTAACACCTATAAAATTACTTTACCTACTCGAAAAGTTACAAGAAGGAAAAAAATTTTCTTAGTGGAATCTCTCTGATCCAACTCTTTTTTAAATAAAATACATAGTTTACTTTATTGACATAGCTTGTAACCCTGTTTTGATCACTACCCTGAAGAATGGTGGAGGAAAGCCTTTGTTTTGCTTTTAGCCTTAACATTACAGGATGCAGTGGCGCACACTTTGTTATAACCAAAATAAGATTAGAAAATTCTATAAAGATAAAAAGCGCGAAAGTAATAGCGATTAGAGTAATAGAAATCCAAAAACTTGATAAGTTAATAAAGCAACTAAAACTAAAAAAAATTAGAAATATTTAAAGAGTTTTCATATTAAATTAAAACTATAAGAACAAGTAGGAAACAACTGAGAGTTAAGCAGAGCAGTTAAAGCAGAACAGTCTAGAACAAAAGTAACAAAGCGCTTTATTATAGAGTTAACAAAACCTAAAAATCCCTCCACCAGGAGAAAGGCTTAATATAAACTCATCTGAGCAAGGAATTTCCTCATGTCTGTCAAATTAAGTATCTGGTGCAGACCCTTTAGGGCTACTGCACACATTATTGATACTTACTGTATGCATACATGCACTTGACCGGTAAAAGAGGTAATCAAAAAATATGCATATAAAAAAAGAATGGCGTGACCAGCGCACATGGTGCGAGCAAGCGTTAGAGGAGCATTTAAGCAACATCAACTTTATTCAGGGACAAAAAAATATTGTGTTGAAAATTTTTTTATGTAAAATTTACTTTCAATCCGCATGAAGTTAAAGTATATCTTTTTATGTTTTAAGCGTAACTCCATTTTTACGGTGTTTACTTATTATGTCTGATAATTCCATTAATTTAGCTTTTTTGTATTTTTTTATAACGTCTTTTTTTTCTAAATACTGTTTTCATAATATGTGTACCTGAAAATAACATTTTTGTGACTTTTTTAAAATCTAAAGAGGCTTGCCGAAATTAAATGATAAGACGCTTACAAACGATACAGTCATCTAAACTCTCATTTTTTTTTTTAATTTTCTTGTATTAATTATATGAAATATTTATTGTCGGATCCTTTTATTTTTTCTCCTTTTTATACAGCTCCCGTAGTTTTTGACTGACATTAGTTCGTTTATTAATTTTTCAATGTTTGGATCTAAATGATTGCTTTGCTTAAGATCATACATTCATATCACAAACCGATTAATGTCCTTTGCTTTTGTTTACGTTACTATTAATTTACAGAATTTTTTATAAAGCTTCTAGAGGAAGAAAATTATTAATTAATTAAGTAACCGTATTTGATTTTAGTTGTGACTTTTTTTATAAAATTACCGTGAGGAATTTTCATTTCATTTTATAGTTAGTATATTTCATAATTTTGAACAGCTAAGCTGTTTAACCAGTATAACTTAAATTAAAGGTTATTTAGTTTTGAAATTTAACACTACTTAATGCTATTACTATTTAATTTATAATATTAATAATAGGAAAAGTAATATTTTTTAAAGAAGATAATTATGCAGTTATCAACTGTTAAATTTTAAGACTGAACTATCTATGCTTATAAATTAACAGTTTAACAGTTTTTTGTTCAAGGGCCGTTATATACTAATTACAATATAAGATAAAAAATAAAACAATCAAAAATAAGCTATCAAACAACGGAGTACTATTCCTAAAACCTCTCACTTTATTATTATTTTTTTTAATGAATTGTGCAGATACCCGGTAATTTTGAGCGCAGACTGCTTAGTCTCTCAAATAATTTATATTAGGTTAGACCGTATACAGTTTCGGCAGGTCATCTCCATATAAACTATCTACATATGTGTTAAAGGTTTAACAAAACTGTAATTGTGCACTTTAGGCGCATCGCAGAATCTTCGAAAGCGTGAACCTTTCCCGGGTTCGTAGTAAGTTCTTGAATCCATCGGTAGTTGGGATGCCTACAACTCGTTTAAAAGAAACTGAAGTTGCATTATTGGAAAAAGAATTCAAGTCGTTCAAAACTTAGGTTGTCATGTAATGTATTTCCGCAGTAAATAAGGTGCGTCGGTCATAAGTCACAGGAGTTTGTTTTGCTGCGTCTGAAGGGGCGCAATCGTCTACGGTTTATCATATGTCCAAACTGTAAATGCGTGGGTCATTATAGGGCGCACGCATACTTTATAAAGGTGCAGTTTATTGTGCAGGGACATTGTACTTTTAACACACAGCAACGGGTATAGTGCGTGAACTGCTACGTTGATCTTAGTCGTAAGAAACCCTACGTGTAGCCTCCTAGTTAGGAGCTTATCGATGATGACTCATAAGTATTTGGCCTGCGAGCCTTATGGGATCAACCT